TCTGGGAGTGCTCAGGTTTAGACGCCCTGTGCCTTTGGGGCGAGGACTGGGTGGGGGATTTGTGGGGGAGGGCAAGCTGCGCTAGTAAGCTAAAGCCCCTGGAGTGGGTGAGGTGGTTTTTGCTTTCTAAAAAGGAACAAAATCAAAACAGAACACAGAAGAAATGCACCCGTTAGCATACATGGTCAAGTGATATGCAACTTGATTTCTGTCCTCCCGAGAACATCCTCATGCTATGGAAGACAGACATTGGCTGTGTGTGGATCAGTATTCCCTTCTTGGACGTGTGGGTCTAGCATTTTGATCTGCACCACTTCTATAGACTGAGCATAGGGTTGCCAAGTCCATCTTCCACCCCCAGCGGGGGACTTTGGGGGCGTTCCTGGAGGGGGCGGGGCATTCCCGACGTGATGACGTCACGTTGGGGACATCCGACCCCCCCTGTGCGCCAGACCTCCAGAAACGGCAGTTCCCTGCACTTAAAGGAGCCGGCGTTTCCCTTTTAAATGCAGGAGCCGGCGTTTCCCCTTTAAGAGCAGCCGCGTTTCCCTTTAAAGAGCGAAGCCGGCATTTCCCTGCAAGCTTGCGGAGATCAGGCTTGGGAGGAAACACGGGTTCCACACACTTAACGGGAGAGAGATGGGTGGCTGTGGGTGTTGGGGGCGGGGCTTCCCCGCCAGCCATCTGGTCGTCGTCGGCGGGTAGAACCCCCACAACAATGGGGGACTCCTGGCAAACTGGGGAGTTTGGCAACCCTAACTGAGCAGCAACTGGACAAAGGCGAGGGGACCAATGAGTTGTGGCCCAAGGAGGAAGCAAACAGCCCTCCCTCTGGAAGGCGCGAAGGGCCTTGATCAGGAACTCTGGGAGCCTGAGCGCTCATGCCAGGGGTCTCCAACGTGCAGCCGGTGGGTGTCATGGTGCCTGCTGACACCTCTCCTGGAGCCTGCCAAGTGCTTTTAAAAAGTGGGTGGGGCCTAGTGGGTTTTTTTGCCCAGCAAGGTTTCTGATTGGCCGCTGGAGATTTGATCGGCTGTGCAGGTTTTTGAAAACACACTGCTTCGCCAGCAGCTGCCAGCACAGCACAGGGATCTTCGTGGTGTGACTGAAGCGAAGCTGCAGCAGACATTTAATGGCTGGCTCCGCCTCCTGAAGCAGCCGTTTTGCGGCAGCCATTTTGCGGCTGCGCCCACCATGCCGTGTCAGAATTCCAAAGGTGCTCACAGGCTCAAAAAGGCCAGAAGGTTTACACGCTAAACGACTGGTATAGCTTGCCAAAAAGAAAAAGAAAAAAGGAGGAGCTATTGATTTGTTTTCTGTGGCATCGTCACACCAAGTGGTCAGCGGATGGTCTTGCGGCTACCGGCTCAGAAGGGGTCTGATGACATGGGAGGCCAATAGTGCTCCACCGGCTCAGGAGGCCCGTCTCCACTTGCCTGCTCGACCCCCTGCTTCCCTTGTAGGGTGAGCACGCTGAGATCCTTCGGGAATATGTTTCCAGCCCTTGTGGCTGCGTAAGATAAAGATAGTTAAGTGTTTTCAAGCTGCAACTGACTTACGGCATCCCCGTAGGGTTTCCAAGGCCAGAGGCGGCTTCCCGTCGCCTGCCTCTGCACAGCGACTCCCTGGCTTTTCTGGGTGGTCGCCCACCCAAGTACGAACTGTGGCCGACCCTGCTTAGCTTCCAAACTCTAATTAGACAGGGCTAGTCAGGGCTGTTCAGGCTGCTATGGACGTAGGGGGAAGACGAAAACACATGCTGAAGACCCTGCACCGGTGGATCCTCATACTGACAAGCGTACGCTCACCCCATGCTCATGAACACAACTCTGTGGGGAAAGGGAGGGTGCTGCAGACACCCTCCTGTATGTACTCCGCACCCACTGAAGCTTTAGCCACTTCCCTGAATTGATAACAATTTTGTCTTCCCAATGGGGCACATGGACTCGACTCAACAAGAGCGCAGGGCCGGCACTCTTTCTCCGACGTGGAAGAGGCAAAGCCACAGATGCCAGACTGATGCCTTTTCGAGTCGACTGACCGTGGAGACAAAAATGTAAGTATTTTCACACCATTCCCGTTAAACGCTGCACACAAAGACGCTGTCGGGATGCTGCAGGCTCGACATCTGTTACCGCTGCATAAATGGGATGCCGGGGTGGGCTCTTGCTGGGCAGTCAGTCTCACAAGGCAACGGGGCTGGAAAAATACTTCCAAGTTCTGAAGTTCCACAGAAACATGAAGCGGCCTTATACTGAGCCAGAGGATTAGTCAGTTTGGGGGGGGGGGGTGTCACCAAGGTCACAGGCAGAGAACTTTCCAAGCTTTCTGTACCCCTTCTAATGGAAAATATCAGGGGCAGACCCTGGGATCCTGTGCATGGGAGAAAGATAAGAACTGAACATTTTAAAAGAAGAAGAAGAGGAGGAGGAGGAGGAGATTGGATTTATACCCCGCCCTTCACTACCCAAAGGAGTCTCAGAGCAGCTTACAAATGCCTTTCCTTCCCCTTCTCCTCCCCACAACAGACACCCTGTGAGGTAGGTGGGGCTGAGAAAGAGCTCTGAGAGAACTGCCCTTGAGGGAACAGCTCTGACAGAACTGTGGCTTGCCCAAGGTCATCCAGCAGCTGCAAGTGGAGGAGTGGAGAATCAACCCCGGTTCTCCCAGATTAGAGTCTGTGCACTTAACCACTGCACCAAACATCAGAGCAGCTTACAAACTCCTTTCTGTTCCCTTCCCCACAACAGACACCTTGTGAGTTAGGTGGGGCTGAGAGAGCTCTGACAGGAACTGCTCTTTCAAGGACAGCTCTGACAGAACTACGGCTTGCCCCAAGGTCATCCAGCAGCTGCAAGTGGAGGAGTGGGGGATCAAACGCGGTTCTCCCAGATTAGAGTCCGGGCACTTAACCACTACACCGAAATGGCTCTCTAAGTTGATTAGTGGTGTTTTGATTGTTTTCTACCTATGTTGGCTGACTTAGGTCTCAGATCTCTGGGGGAAAAGTGGGTTTCTAAGAACTCAAATAAATGCTAATTTGCTTGCCTTGTCATAAGACATCAGTCCTCCCTGTATAAAAGGATGGAATTCGACTGAAAGTATTCAGAGCCGTCATTGGATTTTAGGCGCTTTGGGGAGGGCCTATGACGAATGGCAGAGCACCTGTTTGGCATGCAGAAGACCTTGAGTTCAATGCCTAGCATCTCCAGTGAAAAGAATCAAGTTGTGGGTGATGGGAAACACCTCTGTAGCCGAGGCCTGGAAGCCGCCACCGGTCAGAGGAGAGAAGACTGGCTTTGGTAGACATCACCACGGGTCTGACTCAGTAGAAGGCAATTTCGTGTACGTTCAGAAGGATTTTTCCGCTCGGGAATGAAACACACGCCGTTAGCACACAAAGGCCTCTCGTGTCATGCAACTCCCTTCCTAGACAGGAAGGACAGTTACCATGTGGCGGAGAGAACTTATTATCCCACCAACCTCTTTTATAGCACTTCTGGTAAGATTACAAGCCACCATGCCTTGGGGGAGAGGAGGGGAGGGTTGACCACAGTATGAGCAAGTAATTCACAATGAAACATTTAGGTCAAGGGAAAACAGGAAGAAACTTTAGAAGTCATCCGGTCCAGCTCTGTACCCTAGCTGAAGTTACCTCTGTTTGGTCTTTGCACCTGTTGAAACATCTTCGTCATGTTAAATGGTAACCATATAAACCAAGCTTATTATTCCTGAATCTGATAAATATCTTCATTATGTAGTATGCTGATTTACTGCTCAACCTCTGCCTAGATGTATGGGCCGGTAAATTCCATTTCAGTGTAACTGAGGACCTGTGCGTGCAGCCAAAAGCTCACACATTTGTTGGTCTGAAAGGTGCCCACTGGACTCACAGACCAACATGGCTGCCAGTGCCCACCTGACCTAGCGGAAGTAGTCATTACCAGGGCTATTTTTGGGCAGGAACGGAGTTCCGGCTGGTTCCCAAGTTGGCCACGCCCAGGAGGAACTCATTAGCATAATAGGCCACACCCAACAGCAGAAACTCATTAGGATTGGCTACAATTAGGGGTGTGTGGCCTAACATGCAAAGGAGTTCCTGCTACAAAAAAGCCCTGGGTTTTGACAACAAACAAGGTAAACAGAATAACAAGCAAAAGGTGGGTGTGGCTGGATGACCACACTTTCTGGTAACATGGAGTGTGTGGCCTAATGTGCTAATGAGCTGTGCTGTCAGGGGTGTGGCCCAATATGCTAATGAGTTCCTGCTGGGCTTTTTCTACAAAAAGAGCCCTGGATTACAAACGACAACAGCTTAATATTTAAACAGAACTTTAGTGTGTTCTAAACACTTCACATCCATTATCTCAGTCATCCTTACAACAACCTGGGAAGGCAAGCTGACACCATCCCAGAGTTGCAGATACTGCTTAGGATGAAAAACAGTGGCTACTCAATACATTTAATATGAACCAGGGGCCTTCTGGCTCACTGCACATACTTTGGACTCCTATGTTGTGGCAGTTCTCACGTTTCCAGGTTTTAGCTGGTTTTCTTTGGCCCCCCCATCAATATAAGTTGATCCAACACAAGGTGTCAACAACTGACGTTCACTAGATAATGTGGTAGACCCTACCGGTCCACCCCCACCCCCCACCCCCGTGGCATCCCTTTTCTTCTGCACAAGAAGCCGGCCATGTGGATCGCACCACTTGCACTGTCTGGAGCACCGAGAGGCAAAACAAAACTAGAACCCAAAGGCTGCGTTTGTCCAGGCAGGCCTGAGTCCCAGTGCCTCTCTTTTTGGGAGATTAACTGTCCCTGGAACCTTACGTACTTTTGGACACGGGTTGTCATCTCAGGATTGTAACCTCCAGATAAGAGACAGACCCCCCAAAGAAGGAGTATCGCAGCTCTGTCTGCCCTGCCGCTTGGAGTCTTCTTGGCGCAGGGATCTAGCTCACAGGAAGGACTTGTCTTGGAGGTGGAGGAACACTTACTGTTGGCTATGTTGGAAGCAGTGTAACTGTCTGCCATTCCTGAGACCTGGCTGGCAATACTGGCCTCGCTGGCCCTCCGGAAGCCCCTGAACTGGGGGGCTGAAACGGGAGCAGAAGGGGATGCGCTTTCCATGAAGACGCCACCAAGAGACTGAACAACATCCGCTACGGAGACGAAACAGGGGAAATTGAGAATATTAGACCAAAACGGACACACGCCGTGGTGAGACAAGAAGGATGCAAAAACCCAAACCAAGCAATGCATGCGCGCGCACCCCCCAAAAGGTAGAAGGTGATGATGCAGACATCAAACCAAACCTTTTGGAAGGAATAAGTGTTTCAAAACAAGCTCCGGTTGGTAAATGAAACACACACACAAACCCTAGTGCAAAGCAAAGCACAAAAAGCATCAGCGGCAAGGTAGCCATTTCCCAAACGATGGAAGCAAATGAATCATCTTGAAAGGAAACAGAAACACAAGAGATCTCAGCCGGAGTTCATGGGATTCATGGGAATGCCGGCCACTTGTCTAGCGCTGTGGTTTGCAAACCATGTCCCGGGGAGGCCTGGGGTCCCCAAGTGGGAAGACCATTAACTGGTTGGTCAGTTCAGGGGCTACCACTAAGCCTTTCCTCCAAAGTTCACTAAGGGATATTGTTGCGGGAGTATTCATGAATTATGTGGTAGGAACGCCAGTTCCTCAAGAAATCCTCTGCAAGGCATGGGGGTTCTTCACTGGACCAGGCATGTGGAAGGGGCTCCTGAACCCAGAAGTTTAAAACCCAATGGTGCAAAACTGGGCTTAGCCAGAACAGCCAGTGGAAGAGGACTAATTCTCTGCTCTGTGCCTTCAGCTGCTTGCTGAGGAGTGGCCAGTCTCCATCAGAGCTGCCCAGTAGCACAGGGGCTTTAAGGAAGATGCTCCGGCTCTCAGGTTGCAAATGGCAAAACCTGTGCTATCTATGGCTGCGGTCACACACGCCAGGTAGAAGCGGAGAGAAACGTGACCCTCCGGAGGAACTGGACCCGCAGTTGTGAGATCACACCTCCCTTCATAGCTGCGGGTGCAGCCCGTCACAGTGTGATCAGATGCAGCAGCAGGTGAGTTTGGGGTTCTTTTTTGGCTGCTTGTTTCCAATGTGCATAAACGAGGAATTGCACTGAGGGCTTCCTATGGAGTATACGATGACGCGCATACTGCAAAGGGGCGGGGAACGACACCGAGCCGGGATGGCCGGATCAGACCGCCCCGACAGCTTGAGAGCGTGCTTGAGCAATCAGACAGGGGAAAGTCCATCTGTGGCCCATCGGAACCCGCTTACCTCTGGACTTTCCCCGGTGTGTCTTTTAACTCTGCATCTCCAGCGGAGCAGCACGGGTGGCTAGCGACTGTAGGATGTTTCCCAGACAGGGGTCGTTTCATAGAAAAAGAGCTAGGGGCACTCATTAGCATAACTCATTAGCATATGCCACACCCCCTGCCATCACCGGAAGTGTGTCATAAGGCCACACCCACCACTCAGTCTTAGTCTTAAAGGTTAGTCTTAAAGGTGCTATTTGAACTCTTGGACTATTTTGCAGCAACAGACTAACACAGCTACCTTGGGGAAGCTCCTGGATGGGGCTGGGTGTCCTTGCGGAGGCCACGTGGAGTGGCCTCGGCCAGGCAGAGGGGGAGGACGCCAACTTACCCTCCTGCTTCTTCCTACTTCTGCAACAGAATGAGGCTGGAAGCAGGGGGCTGCTGGAAGAAGGGGGCGGGGCTTCGTCGTGTGCCCCGCACCCTGCATCTCACCCGGGGGAACTGCGATCCCCCGCGATCCCCCCCGAATCGACCTCTGTTCCCAGATGTCGCCGTCTGATCGCTCCCTTTAGATCCATCAGGCATTCGCACCTACGTTGGATCTAAAGGTGCGTGTGATCGCAGCCTATTACTGGTGTCATGCCTTCATCTGGCAGGCGGTCTTTTTTGAAAGGCTTTTTCGGCTGGGGAGAATCGTACCTTCCTTCCACCCCGTTAATAAATTTTACTTATTTCTTCCTTTTATTGATTGGACTTTTATCCCACTCTCCTTTGCACTGCAGTGCTCAGGGCGGGCGACAACAAAAAAGATAAAACAATGAATTAAAACACTGTTCCAATTAAAATTATAGCAACAATTACAGTACACCAGATGGCAATCTGGTATGGTTGGGGGGGGGGGGGGTTCCCAAAACTTTGCAACATGTAGACGTGCCCACGATGGACCAATTTCTGGGCGGAGGGCAAAGCCCGCAGTGCACCAGATGGAACAGTGTGGACTGTGCAGCCGGATACAGCAGAACAGAGCAGAGCAAGGAAAAAAACCCTTTTGGATCATTAACCTGGTTAGAATGCAAGACGCCTTTTAGTGGGTCTGATTAATAGATTCTCTTTGCCTTGCTCAGCAGTCAAACCCTTCGCACCGCTGGCCTCGGACAGCTTTTCAAATGTGAATATTTCCTTAAGCGGGCAAATTTAAGTACTGGGGTGAAGAAGAGATCCTGTGAACGATATCAGTCACAGAACGGGAGCTGCTGAAGCTGGAAAGGGTGACGTCATCGACAGGTGGAAGGAGAAAGACCGAGTTTACTGGGCCCCGGGACTGTCACGCGTCCTAGCCTAGCTGGAGCCTGCTTCTGACGCTGTGTCCTTTTCGCCGAGCAAAAGCACCTCTCCTCTGATGTGCCTGTTCTCATCTGCCGCTCGGTTTGATCTGCCAGGTAGGAGCTCCACGCCACGAAGCATACAAAGAGCCCCGTTCACACTGGGAATGCCTTTAGCTCAGAGGGAGGTACAGAATGAAGTGGCTGAGCGTTGATACAAAACAGGAGTACAACAGTGTGCAATTCTAGATTGGGGGGAATCTGGCCCGTAGCTACAGTGGAGCGATTGGGGGCTCCGCCCCCTTCCTAAAAGGGCCAGCCCCACAAGATTTTTGGGAGAAGAATTGGGAAGACCGCATACACGCCCCCCCACTTCTCCTCAAAAGCACCTAAAGGGATCCTTTAAATGCTTTTGAGAAGAAGCATGGGATGGGACGCACCCCTCTCCCTCCCTCCTGCAAGACTTAAAGGGCCCTCCAGCTGATCGGCGGGCCGCGTGCTCCCCACCTATCAGCTGAAGGGCCCTTTAAACCTTGCAGGAGGGGAGGGAGAGGGGTGGCTGCCAGTGGTCGGGCTTGGGGGAGGACTGGAGCTGACATTAAAATAATGGCAGCCCCACCGGCAAAAAAACTGCCCCACAGGCCACAAAATCCTGGCTACGGGCCTGGGGGGGGGGAGAGACACTACTGTCGTCCAATTCGCATCTCCCCCGTCAGTGATGACACGTGACAGGCTCATGCACAGCATTTCCCCACCCTTTGAAAGCAGCAGCCAGTGGGACGGGGGGGGGGGGATACCCCGAGAGTAACGGCATCACGTCGTGCGTCTTATCTTACTGGACGTTGCGGGAAAGGTGCAGGCACCCACACGTAACCATCAGGTTTGGGGTTTCAGGCCTTCCTCTTCTTCCCCAAAGTTCCCGCTTGCCCAGTTTGAGCAAAGAGCAGCAGAGAGGAGAGGCCACGTGTCTGCAGCACTCTCACAGGTCAGCCTCGATGTCTTTCCGACGCATGGTTGGGGGAAAAAAAAGAAAGCAACCGTGCAGAGCAGCAGCAGCAATGGCAGCAACCAGCAACAAGCAAGCAGACGGACTTGGCAAGCGGCAATCGCTAGAAGAATCCGGGTCTTGAGAGCTTTCCCACATGGACAATGAATGTTACCCATAAAGACTGTCTGAATGGAATACTAAGCAGATCTGGGTACATGAAAAAGGCTTCTAACTGCTGCAAGTTGCCAGCACAGTGACAGTGCGGGAGGAGAGACTTGGCTCTGTGCACACGGCGCTCCGCGCGAGCAGGAGTCTCCTCACTGAGATATGGGCACGTAGAGCCCCACAAAGATCTAGACTGGGTCTTGTCACTACGGTAAGTATACCTTGCGCTGGTTCCGCAGCGTTTCCAATTCGAATTCGCACATGGCCGTGCAAGTCCCTAGTCTGTATTTTTGCATTTCTTTATAAAAAAAAAAAGCGCGGGGGGGGGGGGGGACCTGAAGCAAGCAACCTGGCAGCTCAACTTTTTCAAAAAGGCAATTTTGCAAGTCACCTCCCCCAAAAAATGCCTTTTCCCCTCAATGTGGTTTTTAAGAAGCTGTGAACCTGAATGCAGCATGTAAAGTCGGACACGGTAGCGTTAAGTTGAAGCCTGCCGGCTGCTTTCGTGCTTTACGGTGGCTGTTGCGTGGCACACACAGGAGCCCTTCGGTGGAACAGGAGCGAGGCCTTTCTGTCTGGGGGACGGCGCCTTCTGCAGAGCAAGACGTTTGAGTTGCAGTGCTTCAGGCGTCAGCCAGCACGGAATGCTCCAGAGACAGTGTGGGGGGGGGATTTCGAAAGAGGCAGTACCACCCTGCCTTGAACCCAAAGTCAGTCCGACTTCTGCTGGGGGTCAACAGCTTCCGTCCCTTGCCCCTGGCCTACAGGTCGTCCGACGCATTCGTCACCGGCAAGGGCCCACCGTTTTGCCAGCTGTCACCGCCATCCAGTACGGAAGGTTGTTTGGCTGGGTGTAGGATCATGGCTGACATTCAAAAATGACAAATTCAGACGAGCCGCTAAAAAGGGGTGGCCGACCACAAGCAAATATCTACGTGAAATGAGGATCGTGCGAGGCTGTTCCGTGCTACCAAAAAACCCCACCGAAAAACACCCTTCCAGTGACTCAGCCTTCTGCGGAATCACGTCCCCGCCTGCAGCGCCAGAGAAAGAGATTCCTCTCTGGATGCCAAAACTGCTTCCACTGTTAAGTCTGGAAATGAGAAATTCTCAGCCCGGCTGGCGTCACCTAGCACGCAACCTGAACCTTCAGCCCCAGTGAGGACCTCAGTCTTAAGAATGGCAATGCTTGTCGTTTTAATTGTTTGCCAGTTATCAGGAGGGAGGGAAGACTGAGAAATCAGGGTGAAAAACGGACAAAGAGCCGGGAAGTGAATTTTTTTGAGTGACGCAGCACTCTTCTATAGTCACAGTGGTTCGAAACAAAACAAAAAAGAAAAAAAGGGGAGGGGGGTAAACATTCTAATGTAAGTAAATGAGTTAACGGTAATTAACAGATGCAGTGACGCCTCTCTTTTCATGTCTACTTGCTTCGGTTTGTGTCCTGGACACCAAAGCAGACGAATGCTCCAATGTGCCTATCTATTGCTCTCTGAAAGACGGCGGCGGCTGGAAAATGCCATCAACTCATACCCGAATTATGGCGACCCCCCTAGGGTTTCCAAGGCATGAGACGTTCAGAGGTGGTTTTGCCATCGCCTGCCTCTGCGTAGCCACCCTGGACCTCCTTGGTGGTCTCCCATCCAAATACTAACCGGGGCCGACCCAGCTTAGCTTCTGAGATCTAACGAGATCGGGCTAGCCCGGGACGTCCGGGTTAAGGCTCTGCAAAAGATAGTCCTCTGAAAAGGAACAGACTCCATGACTTTGCATTCCTCTGGGGGGGGGGGAGCCCAGCCCAGCCACTAAGATAGCGGAGAAAGCTTTCAGGACCCTCAGCGCCACTTGGCGTCTCCCAAGCATCGCCCCCAAGCGCATGACGAGAAAAGCCAGCGGTGGTAGAAAAGGGCAGAATACACACACTCAGCAAATCCAGAGTTTTTACTGGAAGCGTCTTGCCAATTCAGGATGGGGACGGGGATACTGGTTTCCATGAAGCTGTCCTGGTTCTGGAGAGCAACCAGGGGGCTGCCTTCCACGAGGAGGAGAGGGTTGCTCTGGACTGTCTCGACTGGAAGCAGATGGGGGAAGAAAACAGATTGGGGCGAGAAACGGCAGACATGAGGCCACACAGAACTGTGACGCAGACTCACAAAGTGATGTTCAACAGTGCCGGGGGGGGGGGGGGGCTTTCCAAGAGAAATACAGATGCAGGAAACGTTAAGGGTCTCGTGGGAAGGGAGGGAGGCCGGGTTGCATGAGAAAGGCATCAAATAAAGGGCCAATATAAAAAAGCAAGTTAAAACTTATGATGCCCAAGTAATGGTCCTAGATGTCAGAACCTCAGAGCTTATTGGTTTCTCCCCCCCTCAACATTTCTCCCCCACCACCACCAATGAGGAGCTGCGGTGGCTCAAGTGGTTAAGACGCTGAACTGCAGGCTGTGGAAGGTCAGCAGTTCGAGACCCGGGTGCCGCATGATGGAGTGAGCTCCCATCTCTAGTTCCAGCTCCTGCCAACCTAGCAGTTCAAAAGCAAGAAATTGCAAGTAGATAAATAGGTACCACTTCGGTGGGAAGGTAACAGCGTTCCGTGCGCCTGGGTGTTTAGTCATGCTGGCCACATGACCACGGAAACGTCTTCGGACAGCGCTGGCTCTTCGGCTTTGAAACGGAGATGAGCACCGCAACCCTAGAGTCGACTGGCTTTCGAGCAAGGAAACCTTTACCTTTACCACCAAATTAAGCCTCCAGACTTCATGGGTGTGGAGAAAATACGTAGCTGCAGTCAGCTGAATTTGGAGTTAGCCTGGAGCAGGATTGTAGAATGATCAGAAGCAGCATTCCCTCTAAGCTGAGTCAGTGTGAGCTAGCTCACAGGTTTTTTTAGCCTCCAGCTCACGCATTTTTTGTCTTAGCTCAGGATCACTCATTTGCAACTTTAATGCTGGTAGCTCACAAAGTAGAATTTTCGCTCACAAGACTCCACAGCTTAGAGGGACCATTGGTCAGAAGGTGAAGTTTCTGTAACCTGGGGGCCACAGAGAACCTATTTAAAAACAGGAGATTTGTGTGTTTTCCTCCCTGATGGGACGCATTTGGCACCTTTGTGCTGCACTCAACAGATGGGTCTGCCTCCCTTCTCGACTCAGTTGACAGTGTGTGTCCTCCCACACGCACAATGTTTCTAGCAGGGTGTCTGTGTTTTGTAAAAAGAACTGAAGCACTTGTACTTTTATGCAATTAAGGCTGCATGAACTGAAGACTGTGGAAGGTCAGTAGTTCAGCAGTTCGAGACCCGGGTGCCGCATGATGGAGTGAGCTCCCAGTCGCGCCGGCCACATGACCACGGAAACGTCTTTGGACAGCGCTGGCTCTTCGGCTTTGAAACGGAGATGAGCACCGCAACCCTAGAGTCGGATTCGACTGGCTTTCGAGCAAGGGAGCCTTTACCTTTTACTGTGCCGTTAAAAAATGGACCAAGATTCTCCTTGGAGAGATCCTATCTATTCTGTCTTGAAACAGCTGCACTGGCTGCCGATTCGGTTCCAGATCAAATTTAAGGTGCTGGTGATTACCGTTAAAGCCCTGAACCTTCTGGGACCTTCATACTTGGCGGACTGCCTCTTCCGACACCCCCCCCCCCAATTTGTGTTCTTCAACCCGCTACCTCCTTGTGGTGCCTAACCTCTGGGATGTTCACGTGGTACCCACCAGGAAGAGGGCCTTCTTTGTGGTGGCCCCATCCTGGTGGAACCAGCTGTCAGACGGTACATGGGCCCTGCGGGACTTATTTAAGTTCTGTGAGGCCTGCCAAGCAGAGCTCTTCTGTTTAGCTTTTCATTAGTTGGCTCGGTTTATATGGGCTGCCTTTTAGTTTTAGTTGTATTGTTTTTAATTGATATCTGTTAATATTTTAGCTGCTGTTAGCTGCCTTGAGACTGCTTGGTGGCGAGAGGACCTCCTGGTGGCACTGGTATTTCTGGCCACTGTGTGACACAGAGTGTTGGACTGGATGGGCCTTTGGCCTGATCCAACATTGGCGTCTCTTATGTTCTTATATACATTTAATCACCCCCACCACCATCACCACTATTACTATCTCTCCATATATATAATTCTGTTTTGGTCATGGACTCCCCTGAACATTCCAACACACTCACAAATCAGTTCGCTCTCTGATCTGTCATTCAGAGGGTCTCCCTATCCACTGGCTGTGTTGCCTGTGTCCTGCCTCCAACATTCTAAACAGTTTGCTGTCCCCCCCCCCACGGCAAGTCAGAACACAGAGGTCATTTGCATATGTAGCCTCATTGGCCTTTGCCTCGGAACACAGAGGTCATTTGCATATGCAGCCTCATTGGCCTTTGCCTCTAACATTCTAAACAGTTTGCTGTTGCTGTTCTGAGGTAAAATGTGTTTTGAGGTAAAATACATTTCCCCTTAGTGCCTGTTGGGAGAAACCACTGTTGCCAATTTCCAAGTGAGGGCTGAAGATCACTCAGAATTATAATTGTTCTTCAGGTAGCAGAGATCAGTTCCCTTGGAGAAAATGGTGGACTCGGTGTCATTATACCCTGCTGAGGTCACCACACAAAATTGACACTGAGTGCTCAAGGCCGGGCCACCCGCCCAGAGCCTCTTTCTAGAGATTGTTGTATTTATTACCACAACGGACCTTATTCCTAGTTATTAATAAAAGTTGCAAACCAGCTTGGGGGGGCGGGGTCAGGAGCACGTTGACACCCTTCCCAACCAGTCAGAGCTGACTGCCCCAAAAGAAGTCACTGTGGCACTGAAATGTCGGGGCTCACCCAGGGTCTTGCTACTGCAAAGATCACGGCAAGCCTGCTACAAAGCGGGGATTTCCACATCATGGCATTAGGTGGGTGTTTATGCCAACAAAATACTCATGATGATCAACCTGTGATTCAGTGGATTACCACTGCTTTGTTAAAGGGAGCCCCAGGATTTTCAGCTGAGCTGGGGTATAAAACGATGAGCCCATGTGAGATGTTGCAGAAACGGTGTTAATTTGCCATTCACTAACTACATTTCACTACACTAACTACACTGAGCCACTTGAGCTATGGTGGCTCAAGCGGTTGAGACGCTGAGCTGCAGACCGGAGGGCCGGTAATCCAGCAGTTCAAGACCCATGTGCCGCATGATGGAGTGAGTGCCCGTCTCTGGTCCCAGCACCTGCCAACACTGCTCCCTCTCTGTAGAATCTTGTGAGCAAAAAAGGCTACTTTGTGAGCTGCTGGCATTAAAGTTGTGAGCGAGCCATTTGGCTACTGCATAAATTAGCTTGCTCTGGAGCCATCCTTCCTGAGCTAAGACAAAAACGTGTGGGCCGGAGGCTAAAAAACTGTCAGCTAGCTCAAACTAACTCAGCTTAGAGGGAACACTGCCTGCCAACCTAACAGTTTGAAAGCAAGAAACTGCAAGTAGATAAATAGGTACCGCTTTGGTGGGAAGGTAACAGCGTTCCGTGAACCTCGGTGCCGGCCACATGACCACGGAAACGCCTTTGGACAGCGCTGGCTCTTTGGCTTGGAAACGGAAATGAGCACCACATCCCCAGAGTTGGATTTGACTGGCTTTCGAGCAAGGGAAACCTTTACCTTTACCTAACTACACGGGATACGTTTCTCATGCCTGTCCCCAGGTGGGGTCAACAGATGTGGTCTGTACTTCCCAGTAGGGGCAGACTGGAAAAGCAGCCCTGGAAAAGGACAATGCCCCCCCTGCCTTGGCAGCCCCCCCAGGAAGGGAAGGAGGAAGGGACAAATAGAGCCTAGAGGCACTGCATGGGGCACGCCTGTGAGCTGCTCTTCTCGCCACTGGACTTGCCCAGCCCCCCCCCGGGGGGGGAGGATGGGCTATTGGCCCACGGGGACAAGTCCCAGAAACTATAAAAGCCAATCCATCCCTGCTGCTCGGACCTGAGCCTGCCTCTGTAGCACACAGCCTCCAGACCATATCTGTCAACCCCACCTAGGAGTGCACCTGGGAGAAGTATAATGTGCTGTCCAGTTCTGAAACAAAACCCAAACTCTTTGCTATTAGCCACAAGGTACAGATAAGAACTCTCAGTCTGGGGCAAGTGATGCTCTGTATTCTTGGGGTTTGGGGGGGGGGGCAACAGTGGGAGGGCTCCTGGTGTCCTGGCCCCACTGGTGGACCTCCTGATGGCCCCTGGTATTTTTGGCCGCTGTGTGACACAGAGTATTAGACTGGATGGGCCACTGGCCTGGTCCAACGTTGGCTTCTCTTATGTTATGTCCTTATGAAATTTGCTAAGGATCTAAAATGCTGCAGGAATTGTTTCATCCTTCTCATGTTTAGGACAAAGTTTGAGCGGGGCAATAGCAGCACCGAGGACGGAAACCCAAAGGCACATTAAACTTAAAAACAGACTGAGACTGTTTAAAACAGGGGTTCCCCGAACGTGGTGCCTGCCAAGTGTTTTCAGAATGTGGGCAGGGCCCCAGGGGGCCCCTCCCACCTGGGAGGGCCCCTCCTGCCTAGCAGGGCTTCTGACCAGCCATTCGAGATCTGATCAGCTGTTTCGAAAGCGGCTCCCACCACACTGGTGGCTTTATCTTCTCTCATGCTCCTCTTTCCTAGCCTGTTCTGTACAATTTCTCCTCTCCTTCCCCCCACTCCCCCATGCTTGGGCTCTACTGTGTTTGGCTCTACTTCCTACAGCAGCTGTAGGGCCCCCCCCCCCCCCGGTTTAAAATGTCTTTGCTTTCCTGCAAGCACTCTCGGAACGATTGCTTTGGGTGGGGACTGACACGCCTTCCCTCTACCAGCGGGAGATACTTTTCTCTGCACCTTTATGCTGGCTGGGGAGGAAAGGCACTGCTTTGGAAACAGCTTGCAAAGAAATAACATTTATTCCGTCCTCCGGCATCAGGACAGTTCCAGGATTAGGAGTCAGCGTTCCCCCTAAAGTGAGTGAGTGTGAGCTAGCTCACAGTTTTTTAGCCCTCGGCTCACACATTTTTTGTCTTAGCTCAGGAAGGGTGACTCCAGAACAAACTGATTTATGCAGCAGCCAAATCGCTCGCTCACAACTTTAATGCCAGTAGCTCACAAAGTAGAATTTTGCTCACGAGACTCCACAGCTTAGAGGGAGCATTGATCAGGAGTAGTTCTTTATGTGCCCTAGGGTTTCTCAGAATATCCTACAAGTTAAGAAGAACTGCTTCTGGAGTTTTTGGTGTGTCGTATCCCGTATAATCTTTAATGCGCGTCAGTATTTTGAGTTCAGTATTTGTTAACTTATTTACATTCCCACCAGCTATGCAGGAATGTTCCTTTCTCTCCACAATGTTTCCAACACGCTGCTGATATAGTAGGAGTAACGTGGGAGAGTTTAAAGGTAAAGGTAAAGGTTCCCTTGCTCGAAAGCCAGTCGAATCCGACTCTAGGGTTGCAGTGCTCATCTCCGTTTCAAAGCCGAAGAGCCAGCGCTGTCCGAAGACGTTTCCGTGGTCATGTGGCCGGCATGACTAAACACCAAGGTGCACGGAACGCTGTTACCTTCCCACTGAAGTGGTACCTATTTATCTACTTGCAATTTCTTGCTTTCGAACTGCTAGGTTGGCAGGAGTTGGCAGGCGTTAAATACCATCTAGATAGGACACAGGGTCGCAGGATGCAGAGAAGTCTAGCTGAGCCAGAGCGCCCACGTTACACCTTGCTTATATGCTCAAGGCTCCTTCTGATCTCTGAGCAGCAGGGGGAAACCCCTACCTTACCTGCAGGTAGCCCGATTTTATCACCATTCTGACTGGCACAAGCCACCCACTGAACTATTAGATGGATGTGTGTCGTTACTTTAATGAGACAGCTTTATGATTTCTGTCGCATACACTTTGCAAACGGCTTCGAAACCACAGGAAGCCCCACCTTGCTGCCCGGAGCGGTAAAACCCAGACAAAGGGTTTGCTCCCTTTGGGCCAACTGGCTCATAGATCCGGGGTGTGCGTGTGGGTGGAAGGTGACTCACCCAGGAGGGCCGAATTCCCATCCCCGAGAGGGAACCTCTGGTAGCGTGGGATGTTAAACGGCGGCAAAATGTGGAACTTCTTTTCCAAGAGGGGCTCCAAGCGTGAGGCAGATGGGTCCGCAGGGTGGAACAGATTGTACACTTGCTGACAGGCTGGTCTTAACTGGAAGACTAAGCGGGGTGACGGGCGAGGGAGGAGAGAGGAGAAGAGATTGAGACAGCAGTCCACAGTACTAAACAGGCTGTTAGCATTCATTAGGCACGAAGACGCTAATGGTTCCTGCTAGCTCCGCCAGTCACGACGGCAAGCCAACGAATATTTCAATAAGCTGCTATTGAAGACAGAGCAAGACGGGCAGCCGTGTTAGTCTCTCTGCAGCAGTAGGAAAGAGCAGGAATCCAGGAGCACCTTAAAAGACTCACAAACCATGTGGCAGGGGAGGAGCTTTTGTGAGTCCCTGCTCACTACTTCAGACTCAAAGAAGCTCCTACCCTGCCACATGTTTTGTGAGTCTTTTAAGGTGCTCCTGGATGCTTGCTCTTTTCTACTTCTATCTTAGAACACTTTCCTAAGCGAGATTCGAATCCAGCATATTAGTGGGCCTGGGAGTGTTTTAGAGACCAACAAGATTTTGGGGCTATAAGTTTTTGAGAGTCAACGCACCCCTTTGTCGGTATCTGACGAAGGGAGCCGGCTGTTCGGCTGCAGAGCGACATGGATACCCTCTGAAACCAATGCAGCTGTGTGGAGTGGTAATTCATCAACCAGGTATTTGGGAGAGGGAGCTCTGGCTCTTGAAAGCCCTGGGAGAATATTGTTGGTCTCGAAGGTGTTTCTGGACTCATAGAATCATAGAATCGCAGCGTTGGAAGGGGCCACACAGGCCAACTAGCCCAGCCCCCTGTTCAATGCAGATCCAGCCTAGAGCGTCACTGGCAAGTGTTTGTCCAGCTGCTGCCTAAAGACTGGTGTGGGGGGGAGCTCACCACCTCCCTACTGCAAACCAACATGGCTGCTCTCTGCAACTTTTCTAAGCAATGCTCACAGCTTGGCACTTACGGCTGCGTTGTAAACCGCCACAAAAGAAGACGACGACAAAGAGATTGGATTCATACCCCGCCCTTCACTATCCCAAGGGAGTCTCAGAGCGACTTACAATCTCCTTCCCTTCCCCTCCCCACAACAGACACCCTGTGAGGTAGGTGGGGCTGAGAGAGCTCTGAGAGAAACGGCTCTTTTTCAAGGACAGCTGTGCCGGAACTTGTGACTGACCCAAGGTCACACCAGCAGCTGCATGTGGAGGAGTGGGTGATGAACCTTAAGGGTGATGGAAAAAAGACTTCTTTCAAGGATAAGTCCTAGCGGACTCTTCACCCATAGTGTGAGTGCAGCTTGGGCCATCTTTCCAAACAGTGGACATTCTATCAAGCCGAATATTGCGAATGTTCGGCCAACTACCAGTCTCACCCTTCCCTACATCCTTTGGGCAGTTTACCCACCTTAGATTTTTTTTTTCTTTTAAAGTATCACATGCGTTCGCTTATCCACTGCTTTATTTGGAAATATTCTGAAAATGACTGGGGGAGGGAAATATATGGGTGACATCACGGGTGCTAGCCAACCAGCAACAGCCATGGCCAACTACTGCTGCAGAAGTTTTCAAAACTTGAAACGAAAAGGCACATCTGAACCGAAAACAGTGTTTTCTGAAACACACTGTTCCTGTCTCTGTGTTCTATGATTTCCTGAGCTGTCCATGCATGCTTCCTTGTTCAGGATACTCAAAAGCTTTCAGAAACTGAACGTGTTCTCAAAGCCCCTTTGCCCCGTCCCAGAAACCTACTGTCGAGCGTTGGGATGACGGTTTTTCTCAATGCGAGGACGAGTCCCAAAGGAGATCCAAACAGGAAGAAGTCGGTGATCTCAAACTCAAACTTCCCAAGGTTCCCACCATCCAGCATGATGGGGCTACTGGATCTCCTTGATCCAGGGCAGTTTCTCAGGACGCTGGAATGTAAACTACAAAGAGAGGGAAAGCAAAGTATAAGCAACGAGGAAGAAAGCGAGAGGTGAGCAGACAGACGACCATGAAAGAAGACCATGCTGTGGCTAACAGAGCATGCAGTTCTTAAAGAGTGTTAAATACAAGGGAAAGGATTATTAGGGAACGTATTGGTGATCTAGTTAAACAAAATGGAGCTCTTCTCTTCGGGGGGGGAGGGCTGGTGGAGTTCAGCACACATTTAAAACCATTTAACTGGAATCAGAGCCTTCCATAACGTTCGGAGACAACATTTATTGCAGCTGTTTCGTGCCGGCTTTTTAGTATTATCATTTGTCTTCTGTTTATTGTTCCCGCTTTAAATTGTTCTTAACTGTTTTGAGTTACTGGAAACGTGGTCCACAAATATTTTAAGTAAATACGTTTTGTGAGACACAAGCTTTATAATTTCCTTTTTATAATGCAGGAGACTGACGCATGGGCGATAGCAGGCACTGTCTTAAACAGTGCCTGAGAAGCTCAGACGGGTTTCCAGCCTCATGTATGGAAACAGCCATTTCCAGTCTAAATGCACCACGTGAGAATGATGATGAGAAGAAGGAGATTGGATTTATACCCTGCCCTTCACTCGGAGGGCGATTTCTCACTAGAGCTGCCTCGGCAGCACACAGCGCCGTTTGCCTCGACACAAACATGTCAATTTCACACCCGAAGCTCCGGGGCTGCATTTTGACTCGGGGGCTTCACCCGATTTCCTCCGCAGTTTCGTGATCCTGGTTTTTGAGGATCATGAAACTGCGGAGGAAATCGGGCGAAGCCCCGAGTCAAATGCAGCCCCGCAGCCTCGGGTGTGAAATTGACATGTTTGTGTTGGGGCAAACGGCGCTGTGCTGCGAGGCAGCTCTAGTGAGAAATCGCCCAGAGTCTCAGAGTGGCTTACAATCGCCTTCCTTTCCTCTCCCCACAACAGACACCCTGTGAGGTAGGTGGGGCTGAGAGAGCGCTGACTGAGAACTGCTCTTGAGAGAACAGCTCTGAGAGAACTTGTAACTGACCCAAGGTCACCCAGATGGCTGCATGTGGAAGAGTGGGGAATCAAACCCGGCTCTCCCAGGTTAGAGTCCACGCTCTTAACCAGGACAGATGAGAGAGGGGAATTAGACACCTTGTTCTGGAGAGGGCTGACTTCTACGAGGCTGACTAAATTTCCCTGTGTTTGGAGGCTCCAGCCTCCCAGCCTCCCCTGAGAAAATGAAGCAGGAAGATGCTGCTGGCTTGCAGGTGACCAACTCCTTCCAGTGACTCATGGTAGAGCCTCAAGTTGGCTATATTTTCTCCTGCTTCCGGCCGCCTTCCGCTTTGACCCTTGCTGCCACTTGAACTAACCCAAGCACACCAGCACCACTTCGTGTGTGTTATGCTCCGGCATCGTTCTAGGTGCCATGCAGAACAGCAGCAAATGCAAAATAATTCCAAGCAGCAAAATAAACACTGCAAAATATCTGAAAAGATATCCCCCTCAACCTTGCCTTTTCAAAGAATGCAAGCCTGTTTGCACCTGCAATTCAAGTAATGCCTCTCTACTTCCTGATATGAACGTATCATGAGCCATTGTGGTGTAGGGGTTACGAGCAGCAGACGCCAATTTGGAGAGCTGGGTTTGATTCCCCGCTCCTCCACAGGAAGCCTGCTGGGTGACCTTGGGCCAGTCACAGCTCTCTCAGAACCCTCTCAGCCCCACCTGCCTCACAAGGTGCCTGCTTTGGGGATAGAAAGTGAGAGCCATTGTGGTGTAGTTTTAAGGGCAGCAGCAGACTCTAATCTGGAGAGCTGGGTTTGATTCCCCGCTCCTTCACAGAAAGCCTGCTGGGTGACCTTAAGCCAGTCACAGCTCTCTCAGCCCCACCTACCTCCCAAGGTGCCTGTGGTGGGGAGGGGAAGGGAAAGGCGTTTGTAAGCAGCTTTCAGATTCCTTATGTTAGAGAAAAAAGGGGGTATAAAAACCGACTCTTCCTCTTCTCATGGAAATACTGCTATACTGGCCCCGCAAAATGCAATCTAGGTAAAGTATTTTAGTAGTCCAATGAGCTTCCCCCCCCTTTATATTTATATCCCTCAAACCGTCCCTTGCTTTATTTCAAGCCCAGGTATTTTGGAAGAAAAGCAGCTTGTGATCTCTCATCCATTTTGCATCAAACATTCAAGGCTGAAATAGAATATTAGTGGGCCTGGGAGTGTTTTAAACCACTGGTCGGTCCAAAATGATATGCCACCTTATCCGGTTCTATATCTCAGGAAATGGGGAGGTGCCATGGCTCAGTGAGAGGACATGTGCTTTGCATGCAGAATACCTAGACTGAGCCCCTGACGCGTCAGCCAGGGCAGACAATCCCGAGCTAGGCGGACCGAGGGTCTGTTCCCTCTAAGATGTAGAGTCTTGTGAGCAAAAATTCTACCTTGTGAGCTACGGGCATTAAATTTGTTGAGCGAGCGATTTGCCTACTGCATAAATCAGTTTGCTCTGGAGCCGTCCTTGCTGAGCTGAGACAAAAAAGTGTGAGCCAGAGGCTAAAAACTGTGAGCTAGCTCACACCAACTCAGCTTAGGGGGAACACTAGCTCTGACCCCGTCATGGTTTTTTACGTGCAGTCCCCCCAACGCTCTATGGTATGGAAAGCGGTGAACGATTGCTTACCTATTTCTTCCTCAAAGAAGTTGTTGGGACAAGGGTTAAGGGGTTAATCGGAGAGAAAAGAGAAAAGATGAGAGAGGAAAGAGGAAAGAGAAAGATCACAACAGGCAGGGAGGGAGGCTTCTTCTTCTGCATGCTGCCCGATCTCTTTACCAGCATAAAACATTCATACACATCTGGGTCATACTGAACACGGCAGGGCCGTTCCCACGAGAACACGTGCATGCGGTTAGAATGGCGCGACGCGTTCTGCTCGCTAATCGTGCCTGTTCACACATATCGCACGGATGCCGTCGTGCCGAAGCAAAGACTTGAGGTTGTGCCGTGTGGGCGATGTGCGCGGCAGCCCACCTCAGCCCCCCGCCCGCCCCAGCTCCCTATGCCTTTTTTGTGTTTCCTTCTGAGCCAGAGAGCGGGCAACAGAAGTGGCGAGACAGGCCGCCTGTCTCGCCACTTCTGTTGCCCGCTCTCTGGCTCAGAAGGAAACACAAAAAAAATGCCACGGCCAGGCTCTTGCTTCAATTCATCCCATCTAACGTTTCACAAATCTCCATTGTTTCTACGGCCTCCATCCGACCAGGCCCAACATCTCTTTCTGCACTAGGACAGGTGGGAATTCCCCTCTCTTAATGAGATGCGGCTTCTGTTTAGGAGAGTGTGAAATTTCAAACCATCAGTGGCCCATCTGCGTGATTTACAAAGAGACGAGAGTGGTTAATAATTACGGGAGGGTTCGGAGGTGGGGGAAACGTTAATTTTGCTGTTCTTCCAAGGCCCCGAGGTGACAAGCCTACATTATTATTCAGGGCTGGGAGTAATACAAACAATGGTGGCCGAATCTACTAAATCTTATTAATATTACCAAGGGAATGTTGCTGAGGAATGTATGTGAGATAAATAAAACATAATGGCTGCGTGGCTGGGAAAGCGGTGCTTTATGAGCACAAGCTTGGAACAGCTTGCAGTACAGAACCACGGGGCAGCCACAGCTGTCGGTGTTTGTGGGCCTCTGGCCATATCACGAGCTGGGGTTTGATGAGGGCCCAGGGCCCCTCAAAAAACCCCAGTTCGTACTCAACAGCATAAAAACATAATCCCATTATCGGCAGTTATTTCCATAGGCCTTCCAGTATGAAAACTCTTTTAGGTTCCATACATACGGAGAGCTTTTAGCTTGTTTCGTGGTTATTCCCATTTTACAGACTAGAAACTGACAAAATGGGTGGTTGTGGGAAATTCCTTATAGATCCGGGCCCAGGGGTCATTTCCTGCGGGAGTGCACAGGAGCGGAGCTCCAGCAGTAAGGAGCCCAGGGGGCGGGCATATGCAACAAGTCCCACCCCCTGCTCCCAGCAGCCCTCAGTCAGAGCAGGAAGCAGCCAAGTAAGTTGCAGAGGCCCCCCCCAGCTCCCCCGATCCAAAACAGTCCAGTGGCACCTTTAAGACTAAGTTTTATTCAGGTAGAAGCTCTCCCTCCTCTGCGAGGACAGATCTGCACGTTCCCCCCCACCAACAGCTAGCAATCCAAAACAGTCCAGTGGAGCCTGAGCAGTGGGTGTTGCCTTCTGACATACTTCCGGTGATGTCAGGGGGTCTGCACCTCTTTTTCTACGAAATGATCGCTGTCCGGGCCCGTATCCGTTTGCTGAGTGGTGATAACTCATCCTCGGCAGGAACAACCCAAGAGGGGGCTGTCCGTGGGCATCCAGAAAGTGGGCTAGGCCCCTCTGGTTTGTTACAGGAAGCTTCGTTCCGCACTACAGGATTTTCTTGAGTGTGTTATCTGCTCATTTCAATGGGGCTCACCCAGCAGAATGGGAGGACTGTGTGCCTCATGGATCAGATTGCTCTGCCGGTTCCCTTCTATTGCCTCACGCCGTGGCCTCCTTCCTACCACCTCCACTCCAAATCCTTCTTTTGTTAGCTTTATCCTGGCTAGCGTTCCCTCTAAGCTGAGTTACTGTGAGCTAGCTCACAGTTTTCTAGCCTCCGGCTCACAGATTTTTGTCTTCACTCAGGAAGGGTGGCTCCAGCGCAAACTAATTTATGCAGTAGCCCAATTGCTCGCTCACAGCTTTAATGCCAGTAGCTCACAAAAGTAGAATTTTTGCTCACAAGATTCCACAGCTTAGAGGGAGCACGGATCCTGGCCCCGATTATTTCCCAGCTGAGTTATAGGATGACGTAATGCCCGTGGACCCATCCACCCACTGTCTCGGCCGCTCAGACTGGTGGTATTTCCGTGGGCCGCTCGATTATCTCATGAAGCTACAGGGGACTTTGCTCGCCAGCCACGCAAACGCATCAGAGAGTGTGCTCGCCTAATCAGGCCTGAGTCACCCTGATCAAGGATTCCAGTTTCAAAGTTAAGTCTTCTCTTCCCCCGATTGAGTCTAATCACACAGCTCCTTTCTTGCATCTATCCACCCAATTGCGTTAAAGGTCAGGACGGAGATTAAAGGGTGTCGAGCCGGCCTCTTCCTTTGAAGACCTACCTGGAGAGGAAAGCTTGGTGCTGCTTTATCGTGTCCAGCTCGTAGGTGGATGAGTCACTCCTCTTGCGCAGTGGCAGCTGCCTCTTGGAGTCCTCTCCGTTGCTGCGGGGGATGTCGATGTTGCTCCGGCTGAGGTGTCGGCTGGCTTCCAGGTTGGAGCCCCCTGAGCAGTAACTGTTGTTCACAATGATTCCAGGAGACAAGAGGTCAGAGTCCTGGAATTTGAAGGGCACAAGGCCTAGGTGTCAGACCTCTGACAAACGGCAACTGAGTTGACGCTCCCGTTTGAAAATGATTACAGACCGGCCAGCCCCGCAGCCCAGCCGTGCGCCCCCGCGGGCTGTCATAAGCCTTGCCAGATGTCAGTGTTTGACCCCTAGCTTCTCGTTCTGCAGGCTGCCTATCCAGTCTAGGGACCAGTACAGCCATCACGGTCTAAGCAGTCACTGGTAATGAAAGGGAAACCGTCTGGAATACCATGTACGGTTCTGGTCACCGTTTCGCAAAAAGGACACTGCAGAGCTGGAGAAAGTGCAGAGGAGGGAGGCCAAGATGATGAGGGGTTCGGAGTACCTTCCGATGAGGAAAGGCTGAAGAGTCTGGGACTTATCAGTTTAGAAAAGAGACAACTAAGGGGGGGGGGCGTGATAGAGCAGGGGTGTCAAACATGTGGCCCAGGGGCCATATCAGCCCCCCCCCCGAGGGCTTCTATCAGGCCCGCAGTGGAACTTCTGTCTTCTGCTGCTTCTTCCAGTTCTGCTGCTGCTGCGTCATCGTAGGTCTGCAGCTTAAGGATACACACCTGAACAGCATACTCAAGATTGCAACAGCACAGACATTTTGATGCAATAATTCAGAGCAAGAGATGTCAGTTCTCAGACACTGTTAAATAAACAAAATGCTGCAAGAGTGCCAAAGTTTTAAGCATGATTTTATTTTAAGTAAAATAAAACCCTTTGTGTTTGTGTCCTTTATAAAGTTTATATCTCCGCTACCTGGCATCACATTTTATGACACACGTGGCCCGGCCCAACAAGGTCTCATTTATGTCAGATCCGGCCCTCATAACAAATGAGTTTGACACCCCTGTGATAGAGGTTTATAAAATTATGCACGGGGTGGAGGGAGTTGACACAGAGAATGTTTTCTCCCTCTCCCAAAAGACTAGAGCTCGAGGTTTATAAAATTATGCACGGGGTGGAGGGAGTTGACACAGAAAATGTTTTCTCCCTCTCCCAAAAGACTAGAGCTCGAGGGCGTTCAATGAAGCCGATGGGTAGTAGGTTCAGGATGGACAAAAGGAAATACCACTTTACACAGAGAGTGGTTAAAATGTGGAATTCGCTGCCAGAGGACATAGTGATGGCTACAGAAATAAACAGCTGTAAAAGGGGATTCGATAGATTCATGGAGGATAAATCTATCAGTGGCTACTATCCATAATGACTGAGGGGAACCTCACAATTCATAGGAACTAATCCTCTGAATCCTTTAGGCAGTATCTTCACAGGGATTTACACCAGTTTGGTGTAGTGGTTAAGTGCGTGGACTCTAATCTGCGAGAAACTGGGTTTGATTCCCCACTCCTCCACTTGCAGCTGCTGGATGACCTTGGGCAAGCCATAGTTCTGATAAGAGCTGTTCTTGAAAAAGAGCAGTTTCTGACAGAGCTCTCTCACCCCCACCTACCTCACAGGGTGTCTGTTGTGGGGAGGGGAAGGGAAAGGCGTTTGTAAGCTGCTCTGAGAGGGCGGGGTATAAATCCAATCTCCTCCTCTCCTCTTCCTTCTATATGAACTGCACGGCTGGATCAAAACCAAGGCCCATCTCATCCAGCCTTCAGCAGCTGGCCAAATGCCTCTGGGCACTATGAGCAGGACATGAAGATGACGGAGCTCAGTTGTTCTCTCTCTTACAAGTATGGAAACCCAGGAAAAAACCCACCCTGGATTCTCTTGTTTCCTTCAAAATGCATGCAGACATTCTGCTTCAACAAGACCGTCTGAGCGCACCTCGCGTTTTGCTAGTGGAAATGCTGATGGGCGACACGGAGACCTGTGGATTGCCGAGTTCTACCCTCACCCCGAGAAACTTTGCTCCCAGAATTGAAATTCGTCTCATTTTCTCGAAAACCCTAAAGGAGTTCTGCTCAAGCTGAACCTTTCAAAGTCTACATAAAACATCACAAAGACGGGGCCTTCCCAAGGTGCTGAAAAGCTGCTTCTCTATGCTGTTTTCTGAAGAGCAAACAGCATAATTTTGGTAGTGCAAAAAAGAGTTCTTCTGTAATGGGAACGGCGAGGGCAGAGCGGCAAGGTCTGATAGCAACAAGGGGGTAAGGAATGATGCCATCATCTCATCCCTGGTTTTATCAGAGTTCAACTCGTGACACAATACCTTGCATTTATGGGTCCTTTCCGCACTAGACCTTAAATCCTGGTTCAACCCTGTCCCTGAACTTACATTCTACACTACTTGCGAGTTTAGCCCTGTAATTATCTCGGGGTATTTTTACATTCTATACCACTTGCGAGTTCACCCCTGTAATTATCTCAGGGTATTTTTACATTCTACACTACACTCAAGTTCACCCCTGTAATTATCTCAGGGTATTTTTAAATTTTACACTACTCGCGAGTTTACCCTTGTAATTATCTCGGGGTATTTTTACATTCTATACCACTTGAGAGTTCACCCCTGTAATTATCTCAGGGTATTTTTACATTCTACACTACACTCAAGTTCACCCCTGTAATTATCTCAGGGTATTTTTACATTTTACACTACTCGCGAGTTTACCCTTGTAATTATCTCGGGGTATTTTTACATTCTATACCACTTGAGAGTTCACCCCTGTAATTATCTCAGGGTATTTTTACATTCTACACTACACTCAAGTTCACCCCTGTAATTATCTCAGGGTATTTTTACATTTTACACTACTCGTGAGTTTACCCCTGTAATTATCTCAGGGTATTTTTACATTCTACACTACTTGCGAGTTCACCCCTGTAATTATCTCAGAGTATTTTTTGTTTCCACATTACACTGAGGTCACCCCGGTTTCGCCCCACGCTTGTCCCGGGATAAACAGATGTTCTTATAACCAGGGATAAATGCAAGGTATTGTATCGCGAGTTGAACTCTGATAAAACCAGGAATGAGATCCAAGTGCGGAAAGGACCATCCCTGGTTATAACAGCATCCGTTTATCCCAGGACAAGTGTGGGGCAAAACCGGGGTGACCTCAATGTAATGTGGAAACAAAAAATACCCCGAGATAATTACAGGGGTGAAATCAAGTGTACAGTAGAATTTAAAAATACCCTGAGATAATTACAGGGGTGAACTCGCATGTAGTGTAGAATGTAAATTGGGGGGTCAGAGTTGAACCAGGATTTATGGTCTAGTGCGGAAAGGACCTAAGAGGGGGTGTCATGCAGCAGAGAGAATCACAGATTCACACAGAGTTGGAAGGGGCCATACCGTCCACCTCCCTGCTCAATGCAGGATCAGCCTAGAGCATCCCTGACAAGTGTTCATCCAGCCACTGCTGGATGCCTCCCTAGGCAGCTGACTCCACTGCTGCACAACTCTGACTGCAAAAAAGTTTTCCCTATGATCCAGCCGGTACTTTCCTGTCCTTAATTTAAACCCCTTATTGCGAGTCCAATCCTCTGCTGCCAACAGGAACAGCTCCCTGCCCTTCGCTAAGTGATGGCCCTTCCGATACTTAAAAGCAGGTGGCTTAACTATTTCCCCCTCCCCAATCCCATTTGCGCTCCAGTCCCTTTCCTCAGCCACTTGGCCAGTTCTCGTGTTTCCACTGCAGCACAAACTGCCTACATCAAAACAGGCATTGTGGGTGGAGCCAACCCCAAAGGACAAGCCAATGCTAATGGGTTGCGCTGGTCAACACTGGAGGAGCAGGTGGCAGAACAGGTGGGTTTTTGGGTTTGCAGATTTACATTAGAGCAGGAAAAATTAGGGCACTAGGGGATGCATTTTCCAGATTAGGACGACTAAGCAACCTACAGTTTCAGAGGGGAGCTGTGTCGATCTGCGGAAGAGCTGGATTCGAGTCCAGTAGCAGCTTAAAGACCAACACAATCTTCGGCGTGTGAGAAGAAGAGATTGGATTTATACCCCACCCTTCACTCGGAGTCTCAGAGTGGCTTACAACCTCCTTCCCTTCCTCTCCCCACAACAGACACCCCGTGAGGTAGGTGGGGCTGCGAGAACTCTTTCGAGAACTGCTCATGAGAGAACAGCTCTGAGAGAACTTATGACTGACCCAAAGTCATACCAGCAGCTGCATGTGGAGGAGTGGGGAATCAAGCCCGGTTCTCCCAGATTACAGTCCACGCTCCTAACCACTACGCCAAACTAGCTCCTGAGCTTTTGAGAGTCAATACCCCCTTTGTATCTGAGCCTTGATTCTTGAAAGCTCAGACCCCCAAAAAATCTTGTGGGTCTTAGAGGTACTACTGGACTCAAATTCAAATGAAAAAAAAACTTTATTAGGTATTAATTACAAACACATAAAGGTAAAACGAGGCGGGGGGGAAATAAAGGACAAAGAACGAGAAATACGTAACTGAAAAGCATAGCTGGTGGAGGGAGGGGGGAGGCATTATTTATTTATTTGATTTCTTAAAAAAAAAAAACCACAGCTGGCTCAGGGCGGGTTACAACAGTACGTACAAAATGGTAATTTAGACAAACATAATACCATCATGAAAACCCATATGAAACATCAATTAACATCAACCGTTAGATGATCGTCTGTAGCACAATTAGCGACTAATCTCAGAAGGTTCTACACGTGTCTGGCGCTAGATAGCGGAATAACGAGGCAGGGGAGTGAACAGGGAAAGGAGGCCAGGAGAGTAGAACAGGGCAGGGGAGGCCAATGCAGATGGACTCCTGCTGCCTCAACCAGAGGCCCGGCGGAACACCTCTGTTTTACAGGCCCTGCGGAACTGGATTAAGTCCTGCAGGGCCCGGATCTCTCTTGGGAGAGTGTTCCACTCGGCCGGCGCCAGAACCAAAAGGGGGTTATCCAGGGCTGTCACTCACATCTAGCTGAGTAACATACACAAAGTGTTTAGAATCCTTAAAATGTGCTAAATATGAACACCTCTCCGCTAGCCTCTGCGTCAACTCTTACTAACTTTCCTGCTACTTGGCTCCCAATATTGGGCTACTTAACAACACAAGAAGAAATACCTAGGCCCCGATCACGTGCAGAATTTGCCACGGGATACTCACAAATGCCGGCCGGATGTTACTGGCGCGATCAAACGGACACACATGGCCAGCGTCCCGCACCCGTCCGCAACCCATAGCGGCCAGCCAAAGAAGCGGAGTTTAAAAGTACCCGGGAAAATGCACTATCAACTGGTTGCGACGGGCTGCAGCCGGATGCTCTCCACGTGATCGCTCCAGCGCACTCCTCTCGCGTCCCTGCCTCCTGGTTGGAGCGCACCAGAAACACCCGCTGATGGAAACAATGGCGTCACGTCTGATCACGTTGGGGTGCGTCAAATTGTGACGGGACCCAAGTATAATGAATCATCTACATTTATGGTGACAACATAAGGACTATGTAGCTTAGTATCTCTTTCTCTTCTCTCCTGATTTATTTGTTTTCCTCTTCGTCTCTCTTAGTCTTCCTCTTCCCTTCTGTATTATCAAGTATACTTCTGCTCCACTGACAATAGCTATCAGTGTTCCCTCTGAGTTAGGGTGAGCTAACTCACAGTTTTTTAGCCTCCGGCTCACACATTTTTGTCTTAGCTCAAGAAGGAGGGCTCCAGAGCAAACTAATTTATGCAGCAGCCGAATCGCTCGATCACAACTTGTAATGCCAGTGGCTCACAAAGCAGAATGTTTGCTCACAAGACTCCACAGCTTAGAGGGAGCATTGATAGCTATGACTCAATTTTGTAATTGTTATACCAGTTATTGTTACATAAGAGACGCCAATGTTGGATCAGGCCAAAGGTCCATCCAGTCCAACACTCTGTGTCACGGTGGCCAGAAATACCAGTGCCATCAGGAGGTCCAGCAGTGGAGCCAGGACATTAGAAGCCCTCCCACTGTTGACCCCCCCCCCAAGCACCAAGAAGACAGAGCATCACTTGCCCCAGAGCCCCCATCTATACCTTGTGACTAATAGCCACTGATGGACCTCTGCTCCATATGCTTATCTAATTCCCTTTTGAAGTCGTCCATGCTTGTAGCCGCCACCACTTCCTGTGGCAGTGAATTCCATGTGATTCCCTACCTGCTCTATCCCATGCATAATCTTATAAACCTTGATCATGTCTCCCCTCATTCGTCATTTCTCCAAGCTAAAGAGCCCTAAGCGCTTTAACCTTTCCTCATAGGGAAAGTGTTCCGACCCTTTTATCATTCGAGTTGCCTTTTTCTGCACTTTTTCCAAAGCTATAATATCCTTTTTAAGATGTGTTACATTCTTAAGCCTCTGTATTTCATATTTATCTTTCAATAAAAATGTTAATTAACAACGAAATGTGCTAAATATTATCCAGAATTATTTTACGGTAAGCGGTGTAACTCCTTGCCATCCCCAGGGTGTTTACCTGCACGCTCACAACACTCCCGCGCCGGCTGCTGTTTTGGCTCTCGGACACGATCTGGTTGCTGTAGCACAGGGCATCAAACCCCAGGATCCCTCCTACGCAGTCTCCAACCAAGCACACCTGTGCAAGGGAAAGCAGAAACTGACTGGTCGTCCCTTCCAAGGAACAGAAACCGTTAACCTTCCAGGGGGGGGAAAAAAACCCACAAGGTTTAATTGGGTTAGACAGTGTCATAGATGCAACGAACATGAAATTGAGCAAAGTTCAGAGGACGGCGGAAAACAGGAGGGCCTGGCGAGATCTTGTCCATGGGATCGTGAAGAGTCGGACTCGACTGTGTGACTGAACAACAAAAACCAGATGTTAAGAACGGGAGAACACAGAGTGCTGGACTGGATGGGCCACTGGCCTGATCCAACATGGCTTCTCTTAGGTTCTTAGGACGCCACGTGATTGATTCGTATGAGTCTACCATATACTTTTGATTTTAACTCCTCTGAGAGAAGCTGATCTCACAAAACCCACCCTGGACGTTGCCCTGGGTGATGGAAGAAGGAAGGAGCAGAGCACTGGTGCCACCACAAAGGAGGCCTATTTGGATTGGTGCATGGGGGATGGAGCAGACCCGGGAGTAAGAACATAAGAACGTAAGAGAAGCCAATGCTGGGTCAGGCCAATGGCCCATCCACTCCAACACTCTGTGTCACACAGTGGCCAAAAATACCAGGTGCCCTCAGGAGGTCCACCAGTGGGGCCAGGACACTAGAAGCCCCCCCCACTGTTGCCCCTCCCCCAAGCACCAAGAAGACAGAGCATCCCTTGCCCCAGACTGAGAGTTTCTATCTATATCTTGTGGCTAAGAGCCACCGATGGACCTCTGCTCCATATGCTTATCCAGTTCCCTCTTGAAGCCGTCCATGCTTGTAGCAGCCGCCACGACCTCCTGGGGCAGTGAATTCCGTGTGTTCATCACTTTCTGGGCGAAGAAGGACTTAACGGAAGAGTTAAGAGTCCAGTAGCACCTTCAAGACTAACAAAAGTGAGCAGTGATTCACGAAAGCTCCCACCCTCCCACAAATTGTGTTCAACTTCTGCTGCCTGTAACTTGAACTATAAATAACTACTCACGACTCACTTATGCTGGAATAAATGTTGCTAGATTTTAAGGTGCCACCTGGTTTCTGTTCATTAGTCTTTGGTGACGGAATGTGCCATCAAGTCACAGCTGACTCAGGGTGACCCCTGCAGGGATTTCAGGGCAAGAGACCTTCAGAGGTGGTTTGCCATTGTCGGCCTCTACATTACAACCCTGGCATTCCTTGGAGGTCTCCCACCCAAATACTAGCCGGGGTCGACCCTGCTTAGCTTCTGTGACCTGACGAGAGCCAGCTAGCCTGGACTATCCAGGTCAGGACAATTAGGTCGCGGCCACACGGTCATTTTGATCGGGGTTCACAACTGTTCCCTATCGCATTTTAAAGGGCTGATCAGACAGCTGATTCTGTCTCCCGTATCGAAGCGGACTCACCCCCACAGCCCTCCCAATGTTTTAGGTCGTTTTCCAACACCGGGGGAAATCGAGTACTTTCCTGCTACTTGCGCTGTGAATCCGCAATTTCTCCTATCTGGACAACCATCTCATGCTATGAATGCGATTAGGTCACCTGTATGTCCTTCTTGCGGTAGCCCCCCCCCCCCCGGCTTTCACTGTTGTGCGCATGACCAATCCTGCGCGGAATATATTGCATGCATGAACACTCAAGCGCACATAGACCAGTGCTTGGTTGCATGTTGGTAGTTCATTTTGTTCGCTGTTCGGGGGGGGGGGGATGCTGCATCCAAGCAGGAGCCGTGATTTGTACATGCACGCATGCACATGCACATGTGCATGGGCAATTAAAAAAAAATAGCACCATGCCACCACTTGGGTAGCATGGCTGTCTGGACGGTGCCTGGAGCCTTGTCACACGAGGCAAGCGGTTGGGCAAGTGATGTGTGATCATCCGAACCCACTAAAAATATCCCCGATCAAATCTACAGCGGGAGCAAATCGCGGTAAGTTTGCCATGTGACCACACTCTTAGTCTTTAAGGTACCACAACATTCTTTTTTGTTTGGACTGGTAGAAACAGGGGTTGTTTAAAGCAGAATTCTCCCCCATGGCCCCCTGGAACGGTCTGCTAGCTCGGGTATCATCAACCATCCCCCATACCCATCAGCCATAAATGAGGCTCAATATTAAGACTAAGCCGATGAGTTAATTGTTTTAAGGTCTTCTTATCATTTAAACGGGTTTCCCAGTTTTTGTTAAGTTAATTATTTTTAACAACACTTGCAAAAATGCAGGTGAGGCATTGTTATAAGAGGCATTGTTCTCCCTGTCTCGTATGTGAACGGATGCCTCTTCTAAGATGTTGTCTGCCGCGACAAAGGCATGTGTCATCTAGAAACAAAGAACGCTTCCTCCCCCTACAGAACCATTGTTTCAGACCAATGCAAACACGTGCGTTTTTAATCAATCGACTACCCAGTCCACTCTTGATAAATACGATTAATCAGCGATGACTTCTTTACTTGTGTGAAAGCCCCGCTGTGGACCAGAAAATGAAACTGTCCTGCACAGATGGAACTTTTCTTACAAACTTCTGCCTGCTCTTCAGTTTACAGCTGCTGAACAAGACCCGCTGCTTACCTGGCCACTGAATGACATGCCTTCCGGGGACTTGATGAAGTCGCTGTACACCTGATTGGCTCTCAAGATCACCGTGGCTACCGCCTCCTGGTACTGGGGGGACGACGTGGCCAGCAGAGGAAGCGCGGCAAGAGGAATGTGATCCTGGCTGTTGGAAAGGCAGCCTACGTCGTAGCTGTAAGGGCTGAGGCTGAAGAGGGGAGAGAAAGAGAAGGATGTTTGTTTTCTCTGTTGATGTATTATGAGGCAGCCAGCGACCACTCACAACCTCAGGAACAGTCATCTGACTGGTCATCTTTGGGCTGCTGTGCCCAGAGAGCTGCAGCGACCTTGGCCCACTCTGCATCTAGCATTTGCTCCGCTGTTTTACCAAACCCACCCTGGAACAGAAACTCCCCTCTACACTGCATGCCACTTTTACTCTGACTGTCGGCTTTTATGGCAGTGTCCAGACTGCACAGATAGCTTTCACTTCGTTTGATCTCTCGGTTTCATGGTAGCCGTCCGCATAGGTTTATGGCTGTTTTATGGCCATTGAGGGGTGACTCTGCAGTTAGTACGGGGGTATTTGAATGTGGTTTTGAGCTGCATCTTTTCCTGTCCCAGTGTGGGTTTGGTAAAACAATGGAGCGAATGCTAGTTGCAGATTGGGCCCTTTTTGATGCAGGACAATGCAGTTTTCATGGGTCTAAAGAGAGGCAGGACTCTCCACCACTACGTCTCCATCACAGGCACTGCAAAAAGATATTTGGGGACAGACACACACGTCCCAAATGCAGCATTTTACTTGCGCATTCCAATTTGCTCAAAAACCCGACATCTCCTTTTGCTTACACATGACAGCAGACCAGGAAGCCTTGGGCTGTACTATTTCGCAGCCTAATGTGCCTCATGGGGGGTCGTTGTGAGGCTAAAGGGGGAAAAAACAAAACCGCAAGAGCATCGCTCCGAACAGAATACAAACAGAAGTGACTCATCTCTCCGTCTTGCGCCTCTCTCCTTGTGACTAATAAATAAAGATTACTTCATCAATTTAGGCATACGTTTAACTTTCACCTTACTATTTAAAAAACAAAACAAGGGCTCCAAGACGCGGGAAAAGGCGTGAAACCCACTAATTGGCGTACTGTCCTCCAGAAGTACGTGGCTTTCAGTTTTCTGCCTCAACACAACTGGAAAGAGGATTTTTAGACGCTGTGCACCTTGACCACTTTGCCCCTCACTGCCCACTGATATTCCCTCGTTCCAAAGCTTGCCCTCCTCTTCCGCTCTGTGGCCAGGCACTGAAAAGAGCCAGTTTGGTGTAGTGATTAAGAACGCGGACTCTAATCTGGGAGAATCGGGTTCGATTCCCCACTCCTCCACGTGCAGCTGCTGGTGTGACCTTGGGTCAGTCACAAGTTCTCTCAGAGCTGTTCTCTCAAGAGCAGTCCTCAGAAGAGCTCTCTCAGCCCCACCTACCTCACAGGGTATCTGCTGTGGGGAGGAGGAGGGAAAGGAGATTGTAAGCCGCTCGGACACTTCTTTGGGTAGTGAAGGGTGGGATGTAAATCCAATCTCTTCTTGTTGTTATGCATGTGGACTCTAGGGAGTGGATGTGCTTATGTGCCAGCCCTGAAAACTGTGCCATGAGTCTCCAGTATTGAAGCATGCAAACGTAATACCAGGGGTGTCCCACCCTGTCTGGTGCAATGGTGTAGACCCAGTTTAGTGTAGTGGTTAAGTGTGCCGACTCTAATCTGGGAGAACTGGGTTTGATTCCCCCACTCCTCCACATGCTGCTGCTGGTGTGACATTGGGTCAGTCACGAGTTCTCTCAGCTGTTCTCTCAAGAGCAGTTCTCTCAAGAGCTCTCTCAGCCCCACCTGCCTCACAGGGTGTCTGTTGTGGGGAGGGGAAGGGAAAGGAGTTTGTAAGCTGCTCTGAGACTCTGAGTGAAGGGTGGAGTATATATCCAATCTCCTCCTCCTCCTCCTCCTCCTCCTCCTCCTCCTCCTCTTCTTCTTCTTCCTCTTCCTCCTCCTCCTGACGGGACCCTGCTCCAACCAAAAGCCATTCCATTTGCTTTGCAGATGAACTCTTATCAGAGCTACCTCTGGCACAGCGCAAGGCAGCAGACCTTCTATTTATACTGCGCCACAGGCAAGCGGAGAGGAGAGGCTACAAATCAAAAGTCAATCAACCCCACGAGGCGTTCATGAGCACGGGAAGATTTCCCTCCACCAAGGAATGATTTTCTCATCTCGATACCTGGAGCCACAGAATGTGCGTTATTATCCGAGGGCCACTTGCTCGCCGTGCAACCCTGGAAATCCGTGTTTAAGCCTTTATTTATCTGATTAGTCTGAACAATTCCGTTGCGGCTTTCCAAGCAGAGCGCCACTGCACTCATTACAGCCAAGTATAATACGAAGACTGGATGGCTTACTGGATAATTAATAAAGTGCACTCTTGAGGCACGCCGAATGGGCTCTCGCCAGGGTCACAAATGGAGAAAACGGGCCCTCGTGATCTGCAGTTTTCCATACGCTTACTTTTTTTTTCACGTTACCATTTCCATTTTATTAAATTTTTTATCTGCTGCCGCTCACACATCAGAAATCGCCCCCCTTTGAAGGTCATGTATAAAGACCTCCCTCTCTATCAAAAAAAATATTCTACATCTGTGTGCTTATTCAAGACCTTGATGATATCTGATTATTATTAGTTTAATGTTATATCTAGATCAGTGGTGGCCAAATTGTGGCTCGGGAGCCGCATGCGGCTCTTTCACACATATTGCGCAGCTCCTGGCAGGGCGAGTGGGGGGAAGCTAAATATCGGCCCCGGTCACACGGGCCGGATATCGCGGGGGGAGGCGTGGCTGTTTACCCCAGAGCGAACTACCGCGCGGCCTCGGGATCCCAAACGTCCCACCGACGTCCCGTGGTTGGGGGGAGGTGCCGATCATACCTCACTCCTGCGGCGCGGCAAAGAAGCGCCGCCGCGGGGGTTGTGTTGTTGTTATTTATTTATTTAATTTTTTCATTTTATTGTTTTGTCATAAAATAGGTTACATAAAATTGATTATACCAACAGTAGTGTTGTTGTTTTTTTAACCCAACTGTTCGCATGCGCCGTTGGGTGCTTGTGCGCACCCATGGAGACTTGACCAAAAAAAAAGTTTTCGCGACAGGACATGGGTGGGCGCCGGATGCCACGAGCTAACACCGGAAACGTGATCTGACGCCCGCCCTTGCCCCGTGGTTTCCGGAAACTAGTACCTCAGAGGTACTAGTTTTTTACAGCGCATCTTCGGAGTGAAGCCTCGGGTGAGCCACGGGAGCTCTACGCTTCCCAGATGTGGCGGTGAGATCACGCCCGGAAAATCCTCTCTAGCGTGCCTAATGCTCCGTGTGACTGGGGCCTTTATTGGACAAATAAATATCATTATCAAGATCTGCTTTTACCGCTTTTGATATTATTTTTGTTCGCATGCGCCGTTGGGTGCTTGTGCGCACCCATGGAGACTTGACCAAAAAAAAAGTTTTCGCGACAGGACATGGGCGAGCGCCGGATGCCACAAGCTAACACCGGAAACATGATCTGACGCCCGCCCTTGCCCCATGGTTTCCGGAAACTAGTACCTCGAAGGTACTAGTTTTTTACAGCGCATCTTCGGAGTGAAGCCTCGGGTGAGCCACGGGAGCTCTACGCTTCCCAGATGTGGCGGTGAGATCACGCCCGGAAAATCCTCTCTAGCGTGCCTAATGCTCCGTGTGACTGGGGCCTTTATTGGACAAATAAATATCATTATCAAGATCTGCTTTTACCGCTTTTGATATTATTTTTGGCAGTCTCATTTAATGTTATTAAAAAGCAAATCTGCATATTTCCCAGTAAAAACACTTAATATTTGTTCATGTCTTGCGGATCTCAAACATCTGACGTTTATTCTATGTGGCTCTTAAGCAAGTTTGGCCACCCCTGATCTAGATGGTATTTGATGCCTGCCAAGCTCTCCCGTGTCACTCCTACTATATCAGCAGCGTGTTGGAAACAATGTCAGCATGTTGGAAACAATGTGGAGAGAAAAGAACATTCCTGCATAGCTGGTGGGAATGTAGAGGAATGAACAAATACTGGACTCAAATACTGACACACATGTGACATACCCAAAACTCCAGAAGTGGTCCTTCTTAACTTGTGGGATATTCTGAGAATCCCTAGGACACATAAAGAACTACTCCTCAATGCTCTCTCTAAGGTGTGGAGTCTTTGTGAGCTACTGGCATTAAAGTTGCGAGCGAGCGATTTGGCTACTACATTGTTCAAAAAGGATGAGCTTATGGATCAGGATGGGATGGCACGTTGTCTTACGGCACCATCATTCAAGTTTTTAAAAAGGGTTAGGGTTAACCAGCCTGGAATTAAGATCGGCTTTTACAGCTTTAAGATTTCAATCCATGCCCTCAATGATCAGGACTGGACATTTCTTTGGTATCCCTGCCCCCCTTAGACAAGTTGATGATATCGTACATTATATTCTGAGATGCCCGTGGCATGAAGCCCCTAGGCTAAAGTACATCATCCCTATTATTCCGCAGCGTAATGGACTCTCCGATCTGGACCTGGTCAGATTTTTACTATCGGACCTTGACCACTATGTCTCTAGCTGAATGACGTTATTTGCCTTAGCAAATGCACGGCTGGAAGCAGGACCAGCAGCACAAAGCAGAGAGAACCAGCGGAGACCAGTGGATTTCCCAAATCAAAAGGGAAACCAAAGCACAGGCATTCCTAACACTCATTCCTACACTCTGCATGCCTTAGCAACAAGGAAAATCAGAATGAGTTTAGTATTTAATGCAAAGCAGAAGGAGTATAGGAGTATACTGACATTTTTTATTGTTTACATTACCATTTCATAGTCTGATGTATTATGTTATGGCCTATGGCTAAGACAATAAACTCATACCACAAAGGCCACTGCATAAATCAGCTTGCTCTGGAGCCATCCCTTCCTGAGCGAAGACAAAAATGTGTGAGCCGGAGGCTAAAACACTGTGAGCTAGCTCACACTAACTCAGCTTAGAGGGAACATTGCTCCTGATAATGGCGACAGCGGCAAAGAATCTCCTCGCCTCCCAATGAAAAACCAAACACATCCCCTACCTTACAATAGTGGATTAACAAACTCAAAGAATATTGTATTCTTGATAAGAATTGATAAGGTATTGCAAGAACTGAGAACAATCAGACTCAAACCGACCTGTTAGAAAAATGGTCTCTAATTTTAAACAAACTGTGGTCAGGGTTCCCAGAAAATGCATTAATAGTATAAAATGTTCAACCTCTCCTACTAGATTTTACTAACTCCAGGCATTTATATGGGTCAGTTGGGGGGTGTTAATTCTTGTATTCTATGGTATATAACAAAAACAACCAAGCGTTCTATACTCCATATTGCAAAGCGCCGTGCTGACATGCAAACCGATCATGTATATTTCAACACCTGAGTATGATGCTTCATATTCTTTGTAACTTTGCAATATTTCTTTCAATTAATTGCTATTTTTTTAAAAAAAAACAACCACTGCATCCATATGCTTACTTAAAAGGGTAATCTGTTGCGTCTATTGGAAGTTAAACTCTGCAGAACACTGGCATTCAGGACCAATTCATGACACCAGCAGCCACTTCTAGACAGCGGGCATGATCATATGTTCAAGCCCAGTGGTTTGTGAAATCTGGAAGCTATCCACTATCCAGGGCCAGATCCAGGTTTTGGAGGGCCCTGGGCAGAGACTGGGAAGCTGCCCGACCTCACAGAATGCTGATGCCAGCCCGGTGACTTCCAGTAACTTTTGCCCCAAACTATGGGGACCTCGTTTCAAAATGCATTTCCTGTCTGTCTGTCTCTGGGTACTACTTCAGATTTCAATGCATCCTTGTGGGGTGGGAATGTGTATTACACATGCTCCACACAGAGTCATAGAACAGTTGCCTTTGACACGCATACCTAGGGCCTGTGCACATTTCACTAGTCAGCAAGTCAGAGACGCAAATATTCTTTATTCTGTTCTTATTAGATTCATGGAAGATAAGACTATCAGTGGCTACTAGCCATGGTGACTGAGGGGATCCTCCACATTCAGAGGCACTAATCTTCTGAATTCCAGAGCCAGGAGGCAACCTCAGGGGAAGGCCTCGGCCTCTATGCCCTACTGCTGGCCATCCAGAGGAGCTGGTTGGCCACTGTGTGAGACAGGATGCTGGACTAGATGGACCACTGGTCTGATCCAGCAGGGCTCTTCCTATGTTCTCATGAAGGCCTCGGCCTCTATGCCCTACTGCTGGCCATCCAGAGGAACTGGTTGGCCACTGTGTGAGACAGGATGCTGGACTAGATGGACCACTGGTCTGATCCAGCAGGGCTCTTCCTATGTTCTCATGAAGGCCTTGGCCTCTATGCCCTGGCCATCCAGAGGAACTGGTTGGTCACTGTGTGAGACAGGATGCTGGACTAGATGGACCACTAGTCTGATCCAACTGGGCTCTTCCTATGTTCTCATGAAGGTCTCAGACTCTCTGCCCTTTTCTTGGCCCTCCAGAGGAACTGGTTGGCCACTGTGTGAGACAGGATCCTGGACTCGATGGACCACTGGTCTGATCCAGCAGGGCTCTTCTTCTTGTTCTAGAAGAACAACCACAGAGATTGACTGGAACACAACATTCTCCCCCTTCCTAAAGGGTACCCCACTCTCTCACTCCCAGTGTCTTCTTGAAAACCAAGAGGTGACTTACTTGGAAACGAGTGAAAAAGCTTCAGAGCAGATGGCTGGGCAAGGAACTAGCCTAATGGCCATGTGTCCAAGGGCCGCTGGGTAATGGACCCGGATGACTGTGTCAAACACGGTGGCGATGGTGTTGACGTCCCCATGCTTGGAGCTCTGATCTCCACTTCCTGTATCCAGGATGTTGCCTCCATGAAGGACCAAGAGCAAGACGTGGATTTTGCTGGGCTGGGCTAGGGATGGTGCTACTTCATCCTACAGAGGGGGAAGGGGAATGAAAATAAAACAGAGATGTGAAATGAGTTATCAGGATGGATTTGTTTCCGAGTACCAAATGTGCTTTCCAATTTAGAACAATTGTGATTCTTGGCTATGTACCAGTTGCCTGGAAACTTTGAGATCATGGAGTATTATATTGATGAAGCATCTGGTACTTCAGCATTGGAAGACTCCAGCAGCTCCCCAAGAGTTGCTTGGATACTCCAGAGTATCTGAGTTAGTGGCGTATTTAGAGGACGGTATGTCAACCAAGGAGCTGTGGTGGCTCAAGTGGTTAAGACGCTGAACTGCAGACTGGAAGGTCGGTAGTTCAGCAGTTCAAGACCCGAGTGCCGCGTGACGGAGTGAGCTCCTGTCTCTGGCCCCAGCTCCTGCCAACCTAGCAGTTGGAAAACAAGAAATTGCAGGTAGATAAACAGGTACCAATTTGGTGGGAAGGGAACAGCGTTCCGTGCGCCTTGGCGTCTAGTCATGCCGGCCACGTGACCATGGAAACGTCTTTGGATAGCGCTGGCTCTTTGGCTTGGAAATGGATATGAGCACTGTGTCCCTAGAGCCAGAGTTGACTGGCTTTCGAGCAAGGGAAACCTTGACCTTATGTTAACAAAGAGATAAGCACTGGGACAGTTCCACAAACTATTGAGTAATATCCCGGAAAAGGTTGTGACACTTGACTTTCCCCACCTCCATTTTTTATTGTTTTTATGTTTCGCAAGAAACATCTGTATTTTAATTGTATACTACAATTCTACATGATTATTCTCATTAGAAATTAAGCATCGGTGTAATTTGAAGGTTGACTTTCTCATGTAATGCGAAGATACTGGTGGAAGGGAGGATGGGCATGATGAAATATGTGTGTGTATAAAGCACTGTCAAGTTGAAGCCGACTTCTGGAGACCCCAGAAAGGGGCTTTCAAGGCAAGTTGGAAGCAGAGGTGGTTTTGCCCTGGCCTTCCTCTGCAGAGTCTTCCTTGGTGGCCTCCCATCCAAGGACCAACCGTGCTTAGCTTCCGAGATCTGACGAGACTGGACTATACCAAGCTGCCTCCTCCACCCTCCTGGTGGAATTGAAAGTACTTTATACACGGCTTTTTTTGTAGAAAAAGCACAGCAGGAACTCATTAGCATAATAAGCCATACCCAACAGCAGGAACTCACTCATTAGCATATTAGGCCACACACCTCATGTTACCAGAACTGTGGTCATCCAACCACACCCAACTTTTGCTTCTTATTCTCTTTACCTTGTTTGTTGTCAAAACCGGCCAGGGCTTTTTTTGGGGGGGAACAGGAACTCCTTTGCATGTTAGGCCACACCCCCTAATTGTAGCCAATCCTAATGAGTTTCTGCTGTTGGGTGTGGCCTATTATGTTAATGCGTTCCTGCTGGGTGTGGCCAACTTGGGAGCCAGCCGGAACTCCGTTCCTGTGCGTTCCTGCCCCAAAATAGCCCTGACTGTATAAAACCCAATAACGTACATCGTTTACAAAAATTACTTGCTAGGTCAACACACTTTTTTGTGCCCTCAATCAGTTCAGAAATTTCTGTCTCCGTGGGGTCATGGAGTAGCAGAAGGCAATCCTCTGTACTGAAGAGCTTTCCAAAAGCACATTAAGACTCCAACGCCTTGGCTCACAATGGTGAGTTCTTTCATCCCTTTTAGAAACTGGAATGTGAAGCTCTGTGGGAATGAACGCAGCTGAGGGAGGAACTCTCAGCAGGTCTGCTCTGAAGTATGCCCCACTTTATTCAACGGGGCTTGTCATAAACCCCCTTTGTGGCTTCCCTCCTTCATAAGAACACGAGAACATAAGAGAAGCCAGTGCTGGATCAGGCCACTGGCCCCTCCGGTCCAACACTCTGTCACCCAGTGGCCAAAAATACCAGGTGCCATCAGGGGGTCCAGCAGTGGGGCTGGGACACTAGGAGCCCTCCCACTGTTGCCCCCCCAAGCACCAAGAATACAGAGCATCCCTTGCCCCAGACTGAGAGCTCCCATCTATCCCTTGTGGCTCATAGCCACCGATGGACCTCTGCTCCGTATGTTTCTCCAATTCCCTCTTGAAGCCGTCCATGCTTGTAGCCGCCACCTCCTCCTGGGGCAGTGAATTCCATGTGTGAATCACCCTTTGGGTGAAGAAGTTCCTTCCTACTTCAGGCTACCAAAGGGACCAAGAGGGTCAGGCTTTGGGATTCTTTTTTTTAAAAAACCCAAATATACTCCTCCATAACCCCCCTTCCCCGGGGATGGGATACCCTGGTAGTTACAGCTCCCACGAACCACCCATCCTCCTCCTCCTCCACATTCTTCTGTTCCCACCCCCATTCCTCTTGTTTACTAGGAGGATGGTGAGTGTGTGTGGGTGTATATGAGAGAGAGAGAGACACGCAGGCTTGGAGCGGAGCTTCCCCTCCCTTCCTGCCAGTGCTCGGCCAGAGCTGTCCCTTCAGCACTCGGCTGACTCCTGGATGCAGGGAGAACGGCCGGCTTCGTGGATACCATTCTAAAGGCAGTCAAATCAGACACGAGATCACTGAAAGAAATGGGTCTGTAATAACGAAGCATACATCCTAAATCAAACACAGCTAACCGGGGACCGAATAGAGCAGGGGTGTCAAACATGCGCCCCGGGGGCCGGATCAGCCCCCCCCCCCCAGAGGGCTTCTATCAGATCCACAGTGGAGCCGGCTGTCTTCTGCTTCTTCTCCCAGTTCTGTTGCTGCTGTGTCATCGTAGGTTTGCAGCTTACAGAGACACAGCTGAACGGCATACTCAAGATTGCAACAGCACAGACATTTTGATGCAGGAATTCAGAGCAAGAGGTCTCAGTTATCGTTCACTGTTCAATAAGCAAAATATTGCCAGAGTGCTAATGTTTGAAGCATGTTTTTATTTTAAGTTTAAAAAAAACCCTCCTTTGTGTTTGTGTCCTTTATGAAGTTTATCTCTCCGCTACCTGGCATTACATTTTATGACACACGTGGCCCGGCCCAACGTGGTCCCATTTATGTTAGATCCGGCCCTCGTAACAAATGAGTTCGATACGCCTGGAAGAGAGGGCAGCTCACGAGAAGGAGAACATTAGGCAGAAGGAACCGAAAGCTGTAAGGCTACCCAGTTCTCTACTTGGAACAGACCTCCACGTTCCTGTCCTTGGGATGGGTACATGACCAAGCATCCTGGCACAGCTGGGGAGGGCCGGCCTTAGGGATCAGCCCTGTGACACACACAGAGCGCCCCAAGCCAGGCTAAGGATCTTTGTTAACCCATTCAAACTTGAAACGGGGCAGGCCCAAAGTTTCCTCCCAGCCTGCTCCTGCCCAGTCACCTCAGACATTCAGAGAAGGATTTTAGGGCTGCAGGACAGGAAATTAAATACCATCCATCCTGGCTCCTTGGACGGCTTGACCAAAAGGCAAGACACCGCCGCAAGGTTTCAATTTCCTTCCTTGGCCCATCGACAACCATTAAACGGCCTCCCCCTTCCTGTGATGCTACATTAGGCCTTTTATTGCCCTTCTTTGCAGATGTCAATCATCCCGAGGCCCCCTTTACTCCTCTCACCTCAGGGCTTACTCGCAGGGAAGTGACCTTAGCAAGGAAGCCCGACTGCGCTTTGAGCCTGCTACACTTCGTGGCTTTCCCTGATTCCGTCTGGGGTCTAACTCCCCCAACGTCAGCTTCTCCGTCCCTAGAAGTCCTTCTGAATTTGTACTTTTCTAAAAGACGGGTGAAGACCACCCTACGTTTCCGGAGTCCTTCGATTAAAGCAGATATGGCCAACTTCCATGAAGGCAGTTTCAGAGGGCGGGTGTGTTGGTCTCCAGTAGAACAGCGAGATTCAAGTCCGGTAGTGCCTTTACTTTTTCTGAAGTAAAACCTCAGTATTCAGGTTAAATGGCCGTGTTGGCACTTTGCGATCAATAAGTGGGTTTGGGGTCGCAGTTTGGGCACTCGGTCTCTAAAAGGTTCACCATCACTGGCTTAGAGGGAAAGCTGCCTGTATCTACCTCACTGTTCCCAAGGCTGGACAGGAAAGCCCAATGAAAGCTACCTTCTAAGCCAGGGGTGTCAAACTCATTTGTTATGAGGGCCGGATCTGACATAAACGAGACCTTGTTGGGCCGGGCCATGTGTGTCATAAAAGGTAATAACTGAAAAGGGGGGGGGACTCAGCCCAAGATATATCTGTGAACTAAGAGGGTCAAGCTAACACGATATTACTTGACGAGTAAACACTTTTTAACTTAGGACCAAACGCGTTGATCATTACCTTTGATGGAGGGGACACAATTCCTGACCAATGAAATCTCTGATACCAGAATAATTTGAAGAATTGACATGGCTATATTTATGGCCCAACATATAAGCTAGTAGCATAACTAAAAGCATATAAGGAAACAACATCTGGTTATACACACACACACACAAAAACCTTTTACACGTGTATTTTGGATGTGTGTCAGTGTAATGTAGAGAATAGTGACCACTGAGGAAGGCCCGAAGGGGCCGAAACGTGTTTGGTCCTAAGTTAAAAAGTGTTTACCCGTCAAGTGTATTTGTATTAGAAAAGCTTTTAAAGTCTGAAATTTAGACTCTTTCTTTTAACCACAGTATGTTTTAACATGTGTACACCTTAATAAACATTTGCATTTTTATATAATATAGTGTTAGCTTGACCCTCATAAAAGATAACGCCAGGTAGCGGAGATATAAACTCTATAAAGAACACAAACACAAAGGGTTTTTTTAACTTAAAACATGCTTAAAACATTAACACTTTTGCAATACTTTGTTTATTTAACAGTGTCCGATAACTGACACCTCTTGCTCTGAATTATTGCATCAAAATGTCTGTGCTGTTGCAATCTTGAGTATGCTGTTCAGGTGTGTATCTGTAAGTGGCAAACCTATGATGATGCAGCAGCAGAACTGGAAGCAGCAGTAGGAGACAGCCAGTTCCACTGCGGGTCTGATAGAAACCCTCCGGGGGGGGCCTGATCCGGCTCCCGGGCCGCATGTTTGACACCCCTATTCTAAGCGAAACGGCCTCCTGCCACTCTGTTTCCAGTCCCACTCCTCTCTTCTGGACAAGCAGTGGCTTGTCATCTTTTCTCCAAACTAGGCCTGCGGAATCCGGTTGCGGGACCCACAGCATTTCCTCCTTGGCTTGGGTATCACAGCGGCTAGGCACCACATCTCCGTGGCAAGTGCGCTGCAAGGGGTTGCTGCTCAGAGAAACGAACCTGGTGACACCCCCCCCGCCCCGATCCACCATCGAGCTGCTTGTTCCTCTAAATAATAAGACGACAAGGGAAGCTGTGTGAGATGCTGTACCTCAATGATGCTGAGTCTCTCCACGCTGGATCCCACATTGTACTCTCCTGCCGATTCAAGACACGGATCATCTGGAAGGGAAGAGGTTGGCCGTGTGAATGATTTATCCACTCTGTGGTTTGTAGGAAAAGATCGAGCGATGCCCAGCCTTACGTTTACCAATATGGTAGGAAGAAGAAGAAGAGATTGGATTTATACCCCGCTCTTCACTTGGGAGTCTCAGAGCGGCTTACAAACTCCTTTCCCTTCCCCTCCCCACAACAGACACCCTGGGAGGTAGGCGGGGCTGAGAGAGCTCTGACACAAACTGCTCTTTTTCAAGGACAGCTGTGCCAGAGCTTGTGACTGACCCAAGGTCACATCAGCAGGTGCAAGTGGAGGAGTGGGGACTCAAACCCGGTTCTCCCAGATTAGAGTCCGCGCACTTAACCACTACACCAAACTGGTTCACTTAACCACTACACCAAACTGGCTCTCCTGTATTGGAATCAATGCTCCCTCTAAGCTGTGGAGTCTTGTGAGCAAAACTTCTACTTTGTGAGCGACTGGCATTAATAGTTGTGAGCGAGCCATTTGGCTACTGAATAAATTAATTTGCTCTGGAGCCATCCTTCCTGAGCAAAGACAAAAAGGTGTGAGCTGGAGGCTAAAAAACGGTGAGCTGGCTCACACTAACTCAGCTTAGAGGGAACACTGATTGGAATACCAATTGCTGAGCAGCAACCACGGTGTGTGTGTGTGTGTGTGGGGGAGTTTCCTTCGTACAGCCCTTCATGGGATCATTTTCCAGGCCACAGTGAGAAACAGGATTCAGGCTTAAATGCGCATGTGGTCTGATCCAGCAGGGCTCTTCTTATGATGTTAAGACCGCAGTTTTGGAACCATCCAGCACTTGCTCATAGCCTCCAGTCTGGGAAGTCCACAAATCACAGCAGCGCAAGAACTAACTGTGTGCACAAACTTAATGTGCATTTATGTCACTTCGACGGGTACTTTAAGTTTTGCTCGTGAAAGTGCTCTTAGCTGCTAGAGAGGCAGGGACGGCCGTTCCTTTTATCTTGGTTTCATGACCATCACTGATAGAGAGCTATGGATCTAATCTGCTTTAATGGTCATTACATCTTCGCAAGGAACTCTGGGAGTCTTCGTTTCTGAGAAGGGGAGCAGATCTCTCTTACGAGGAACTCTTTGTAGCCTCAACGAACTACAATGTCCAGGCTTCTGTTGGAGAAGTTAAACTGGTATAAACCTAATATTGGTCTGTAAAGCAGGTACATCTTATAGCAGACTTCAAGGATCACAGAATCATAGAATCACAGAGCTGGAAGGGACCTCCACTGTCAGCTAGTCCAACCCCCTGCACAATGCAGGAAATTCACAAATATCTCCCTCTCACACACACCCGGTGACCCCTGCTCCACGCCCAGAAGATGGCAAAAAAACCTCCAGGATCTCCAGCCAAACTGGCCTGGAGGAAAATTGCTTCCTGGCCCCAAAGTGGCGATCAGCATTTCCCTGGGTGTGTAAGAAAGGGCCACGAGAACTAAGCACTGAGGCAACCCTTCCTGCCCTCCCTCTCGTGATCCGCCTAAGTTCACAGAATCAGCATTGCTGTCAGACAGCCGTCTAGGACCCTGCATTCAGCCAGCAGTTCGAGTCACAGACATTTCAGAGAGTCAAGCAAGCAGTCTTCTCCAGCAGGATCATGCTAAACAAATAAATTACCGGGGACATCTTCAGACTCGGGGGTTCCTATCTTATCCATTAGATCATTTGAGCTCCATTTCGTGATTTCTTTGGGGAACACCTCTTCATTTTCAGACAGATCCTCTTTAAAGGGAGAAGGGGAGAGAGAGAGAGAGAGAGACAGTCATGTTGATGAGCACAAACGGAACACTCGCCAAAAAGCTCTTTGTTCGCTTCTAACAACTCTGGGCTAGCAAGGGGAACATGGAGATCGGTGCTTGTAAAATCCAGAGCAGTCTTTAGGACGGGGAAAAATCAAAGAGGCTTCGAAAGAAGCAGCAGACAAAGCCTCCTCAGATCAAACGGGGCTTACGGAAAGCATGGTACGACCGTGCCAACTTTGAACAGCCACCCGTTAAAAACCTGTATAGTCACTCACCGCAAAGCCATCTCACCTTATTCCACACTAGTAAATGCCACTTGCTTTCCGCAAGCGGAGAGGCATCTTCCTGGCTGCAAGCAGACATCCCTCCTGTACAGTCACTCACCGCAAAGCCATCTCACCTTATTCCACACTAGTAAATGCCGCTTGCTTTCCGCAAGCGGAGAGGCACATTCCTGGCTGCAGGCAGACATCCCTCCGCCTCCAACGCATCCTGCACTCCATGCGGGGTTAGGCAAAGGCATCCCACTTTCAGACTGAATCAGTAATTTGGGTGCCCTGCGCTAATTCTGTAACAGATGTCAACTTCTTCTAGGGAAAGCCCTCTGATCATTGGGGGACGGGGGGGGGGGGAGACTCATAACGACCCGTTTTCAGAGTTCTTCTACAATCAGTGGGTATGAAAACTTCCAGTTTCCAAGCAGCGTGGAAATACCATTTCATGCCGGGCAAGCAGGCGCACCAGTCTGAAGAACTTCTCTATAACGCTAGCTTTTGCCGCTGCTACTTCTGCCTTTGGCTATCAGTGCTGGTCAAATATGAGAATCTACTACAGTAAGTTCGTAAAGTAGGTTTGGATCCGACTACCCCCTTCCTTGCCCTGCTTGACCACAGTCCAGCAACCCCCGTGGTTAAGTGGGAAAAGTGGCACTGCCACAGGACTTCGACAGCCTGTCTGGGAGCACGGACGTTTGTGGCCCAGGGTGGCCGGAGTCATGGACTGGCCAAGTGGCAATCAGCACGGGTGAGTGGCTGTTTTCCAGGCTTGTGAAACCCTTCTGCTGAATGACAGAGAAATGACATTTCACCTTTGTCTAGGACTCAGCGGCTGACCCTGCTTCCACTGCCAGCACAGATACAACGCTGCCCATCCTTTGACACTGTTGAGCGACTGGAAGGGAGCCAGTGGATCACATGCTTCCTTTTTCACCTTATACTTCCAAGAATATCTGTTTTCCACCCCACACCCCAACAGGGTTAACCACGGAATAACGTTTTAGTCCAGTGGCCAGTTTGGTGTGGTGGTTAGGAGCGCGGACTCTAATCTGGGAGGACCGGGTTTGATTTCCCCACTCCTCTACATGAAGCTGCTGGTGTGACCTTGGGTCAGTTACAAGTCCTTTCAGAGCTGTTCTCTCATGCGCACTTCTCAAAAGACCTCTCTCAGCCCCACCTACCTCACAGGGTTGTCTGTTGTGGGGAGGGGGGGGGAAAGGAGATGGTGAGCTGCTCTGAGACTCTTTCGGGTAGCGAAGGGCGGGGTACATATCTAATCTAATCTCTTCTCCTTCTTTAAGTCCAACAAAATTTAATTCTGGGTATAAGCTTTTGTGTGCATGCACACGTCTTTGAAGTGTGCATGCGCAGAAAAGCTTATACCCAGAATTAAACTTCGTTGGTCTTAAAGGTGCCCCTGGACTCAAACTTGGTTCTGTTGCTTCAAATCCACACGGCTCCCCACCTCAATCAACGTTTAACCATGGGTAAGGATTATGTTAGAGCTAATGTCGCACTGGCTAATGTTAACTATGGTTAATTCTGATTCTGATTTGTGGCGAACCAATATCGCTAACCAGCTCCAACGCCTGGACAAGAACTCTAGTTAGTTAACCATGGTTAAGAAAGGCTGGACAAGGGTGGGAAGAACCCACACATTAGAAAAAAGGGCCTGCGGCACGGGAGTGTGCCCTTCTGCCAACCCGGTCCTAACCCCTTATCCACGGCACCAGACAGCATTAACAATGGCATTGTTCTGGACACAAGATCTGGCAATTCATGGCAAAAGAAGAGGTAACATAAGAAAATCTAGACGAAGCAAGTAATGTTTCCTATTCTAATCATCATGCAAGGTTCCTGCAACCAGAGGAAACTAAATGTATTTTAATTTGTTTTAAATTAGTTGTATACTATATTTGATGGAACCTGCCCTGAGCTTGCTATGCAGGGAGGGCGGGATAAAAATCTAAATAAATAAAGAGGGAGAAAAGAAGAACAGGGAACTGGTTGACATGCTCCAACCTATCAGACCAGAGCAGACATTTGAAGGTAAAACAATGTCCGAACGGGGAGTTCTTTTCCCAGTGAGCTCAGGAAGTTAGTTGGGTGTCGTGGTTAAGTACGTGGACTCTAATCTGGGAGAACTGGGTTTGATCACCCACGCCTCCACTTACAGCTGCTGGATGACCTTGGACAAGCCATAGTTCTGTCAGAGCTGTCCTTGAAAGGACAGTTCTGGAAAGAGCTCTCTCAGCCTCACCTACCTCACAGGGTGTCTGTTGTGGGGACGGGAGGGGAAAGGAGTTTGTAAGCCGCTCTGAGGCTTTAAGTGAAGGGCGGGGCATAAATCCAATCTCCTCCTCCTCCTCCTCCTTCACCTTGCTAACTTGGCCTATCTAGAATCATAGCTCAGCCCATGCCCAACACTATCTCAGATCCCTTTGCACACCTGAGGAAAACAGAACCAACCAGCCTAGTCCTTCGATTCTTAACAGGGGCCAACCTGCACGTTTTGAGAGACATTCAAAACGTTTTGGAGGCAGACGGGTGGCCATTTGGGATTCTAGGCGGCCTCGTCTCCCCGCCTGCAATAGCTTCTGACAGCCAGGAGAAGAGAGCTGTCTTATACGACTCATCCCCTAATCAGATCTTGGGAGCTAAGCAGGGTCAGGCTTGGCTAGTACTTGGATAGGAGACCAAGAAGGAATGACGGGGTCACAGGATGAGGAGGCGGGCCACAGCAAATCACCTGTGGATGTCTTTTGCCTCCAATCTAGCTGTTCTACTGAAGAAAATCTCAGCTACCCTCTGAAACTGACACAAATCAGTTAGTGCTCAAAATATTTTCAGTATACTTAATAGTACCTTTGTATACAGAGAGGGCAGAAACTGATAGTATAACTGGATAGGGCTGTCGGCTACTCGCACACAGAGAACAGCCATTTGCAGTGGCCGTGGAGCATCCCTATACAGGTTTTTCCTGTACTTTCCTTGCCCCAGCCCCCCCCTCCACAGCAACAATTCCCGCCTCCATCAGAGGGCCTCCTTTTTAAAAGGGGGAATTGCTATATTATAACATCATACCAGTGCTCTAGAGCCGCAATATACTACTTCCCAGATTTCAATTTAAAAAGCAGGGGTCATTTCGTAGAAAAAGAGGTGCAGGAGCTCATTGGCATAACTCATTACCATAACTTATTTGCATATGCCACACACCCTTGACATCACCAGAAGTGTGTCAGAAGGCAACACCCACCGCTCAGGCCCCACTGGACTGTTTTGGATTGCTAGTTATTGGGGGAACGTGCACATCTGTCCTCGCAGAGGAGGGAGAGCTCGTACCTGAATAAAACTTGGTCTTAAAGGTGCCACTGGCCTGTTTTGGACCGGGGGGCTGGGGGGGGGGGCTCTGCAACTTACCTGGCTGCTTCTTGCTCTGACTGAGGGCTGCTGGGAGCAGGGGGTGGGGCTTGTTGCATGTGCCCGCCCCATGGGCTCTTTACTGCCGGAGCTCCGCTCCTGTGCGCTTCTGCAGGAAATGACCCCTAAAAAGTCTCTCTCTACCAATCTTTTTGTTATAGAGTTATAAGAGAAGATGTGCAGCTTGTGCCTTCCCCATATAACTTGGCAACAAAACAGGCCAGAGACTCTTGGTTTTTAAATGAAAGCTGGGAACTGGTAGATTGTGGCAAGACAGCCTCTTGATGCAATAGTGAGCTAACCATTCCTGACACACACACCCCTGACCAAGGCTCCCTCTGAGCTGTGGAGTCTTGCGAGCAAAAGTTTTACCTTGTGAGCTATTGGCATTAAAGTTGTGACCGAGCGATTTGGCTGCTGCATACATTAGTCTGTTTCTGGAGGCATCCTTCCCGAGCGAAGACAAAAATGTGTGAGCTGGAGGTTAAAAAATTGTGAGCTAGCTCACAGTAACTCAGCTTAGCGGGAACACTGCCCCAGGCCCCTTCTGTATAGTAGGGGAAATACCAGGGGACGTGGGTGGGGGTCAGGCAAAGAAAATGGCACAAATGTGGGCACGACCAGCAAAAATGAATACCTTCCTGTCTACACAGTGTCCAAAGTCTTTTGACTGCTATCTTCCCCAAAAGACTGTCTCGAATCAGGTTTCAGAAAGATTATATCATGGCCAGGGAAAACACGGAAGCAGGATGAACAGAGGGCAATGTCACATGGACGCTCCTGAAAGCAGTGCTGCTGCAAGGAAGTCACAGTAGAGCAAAACACTCATGTGGGAAAAGCCCGACTCTCTTCTTATTAAGTACTCGATTAATTGCCCAAGTAAACTATAAATCACAACATCTCAAACTGCAAGCAACGTTTAGCAAAGGAAGACATTTATCCAGCATAAATACCATAGATAAAAGCGTTGATCGGTTAAGAGGTTGCATCTACCGAACGGTGACTCGGGTCTCTAACATCGCTGAGACTGACCACCCGTCTCAGACGTGAAGCAGCTCTGACTAACAGTGCACATTTTAAATCTGCAGTTAATGAATATATCACACTGATTAATCCAATAAAGCTTTCTGCCCACTGTCTGCTAATCTGCCGAGTGGAGCACATCGGGAGAAAGCGTGTTTTGTCAAATCTGTACGGAACGGCGAAGGGTGAATTTACATTGCAAGCCTGTTCCCGCAACTTAATCTAAATATTGAACTCATTTGCAAAAGAGGCTTAATTATAG